GTGGATGGTTGGACTGGATGATCTTATAGGTCTTTTCCAACCTTAGTGATTCTGTGATTCTGTGATAAATTACTATCAGTAGCCAAGCGATGCGTTCCTGTGATTCAGTGAGTCTACATCTGCTGCTGCCATGTTACTAGGCCTGGTTCCACCAGTGGACTCTGGCTCTGTAAAATACTCGGGAATCACAGAACAGGTTGCCCAAGGAGGCTGTGGATGCCCCATCCCTGCAGGCATTCAAGGCCAGGCTGGATGTGGCTCTGGGCAGCCTGGGCTGCTGGTTGGCGACCTGCACACAGCAGGGGTTGGAACTGGATGAGCACTGTGGGCCTTTGCAACCCAGGCCATTCTGGGATTCTATGAACCATAGCATCACCAAGGTTGGGAAAGACCTCCAAGATCGTCCAGTCCAACCGTCCACCTACCACAAATATTTCCCCATTAAACCACGTCCTTTATTACCACACCTAAATGTTTTTTACACTGTGAATGTGTTTTACATTTAGGAAAACGCATATTGGGTCCAGCAGCCCTACAGCAGGGCACAGTGAGACCAGCAGCAGCCAGTTGGTGCTGCAACCCATGCAGAGCCAATGCTGAAGCTTATTCCAAAGGGCTGCGGCCATGGCAGGGACCCACACTGGAGCAGGGGAAGAGTGTGAGGAGGTGTGAGCCCCACTGCCCACCCCTGTGTCACTCAGAGGGGAGGAGGTGAAAGGGCTGGGAATGAAGAGGGAAAGTTGAGCCTAGGAGGAAGAGTGACATGTGAAAAGGTATTTTAGTTTTGTCTTTGTTTATCACTATTCTACTCTGTTTTCTCAATGGGCAATAAATTAATTTTGCCAAGGTCAACATTTTTTGCCAGTGGTGGCAATTGATCTCCCTGCTGTTATCTCAACCCAGGAGCTCTTCCATCCCATTTTTTCCCCCAGGTTGCAGTGAGGGGGCACTGGAGAGAGCAGAGCAGGAATCTGCCAGCAGCCATGCAACCAGCACAGCTGGCTACACAGCAATCAGATCCAGCACAGAGCAGAACCTGAATCGTTCATGGCTTTGTCCAGACCAGGTCCAGATGAGCTGCCAAACTCTGCTGGGTCCCACTCTGTCAATGGGACATGCTATGCACCACCCACGTCCTGAGAGAGGCAGATCTTCAGTGCCATCCGGACCCCTTGCTGCTACATGGCCCTCACAGAACAGGCACCATACCTCCCTTCCTTCCCTGCTGCTGCTCCTGTAGTTGCTGCTTTAACACAATGGTCCCAAATGCTTTCACAAAAGGCCCCAGTATGCTCCTTGCTCCCAATAAGCTGTGTCACATCACCCCTCAGCAGGAGCAGCCACCAGAGGGAAAGAGAGGCAGCATTGGGGCTATGAGCCCCCAGGGCCCACAGGTGACTTGAGGCTGGAAGCCAACACAGAAAGGGCACTGGCATCACCAGATGTCACAGTCCCTGAGCCAGTCGGGGGCAAAAGGATTTCACTCCCATGCAACATGGGTGAGTGCTGCAAATTTCATTTCTATACATTTGTATACAGTTGACTGAATTAGAGCATTTGTATATTTAAGCACATTCTGCATTATTCATTAAGTTCTTTACAGAGAGAGTGGTGAGGTGCTGGAACAGCTGCCCAGAGAGGCTGTGGATGCCCCGTCCATCCCTGAAGGTGTTCAAGGCCAGGTTGGATGGGGCCCTGGGCAGCCTGGGCTGCTCTGAAATGTGGAGGTTGGTGGCCCTGCCTGTGGTGGGGGGTTGGAGCTTCGTGATCCTTGAGGTCCCTTCCAACCCTGGCCATTCTGTGACTCTGATATTTGAGACCTGATGCATACAGTGCAGGCAGAAGCACTCCTACCCACCCCATGAGCACAACAGCACGTGCAGCACATCACAGAGGCTCATCCTGATGGCCAGCTCTGCTGCTGCCCACCTGGGTTTCCCCCTGGGATGCTCCAGTGCCTCTGCTCCGCACTGTGAGTTCTCAGCAGCCCAAACACACAGTGACACTACTGCTTCCTTCTCTTCCTCTGCATCTTCTTCTGAGCAGAGGTTGCATAGCTGCGCTGGGCACATGGTGGGTTTCTCTCCAGCTCCTCTTTCTTGCGTTCCCAGTCTTCATCCACGTGGTCCAAAGGCATCCCCCTCATCACGGCTGTCTGACGGTAGTTTCTGCTCTCCACCTCTGCTCTGGGGAAGAAAGGAAGTTTATCTTCAAACCCCGCGCACAGCTCAGTCACGGCACTCCTGAGCACGCCCATGGAAACAGCACTGTGTGTTGGCACAGCCAGCACATCATCATCAACAATCCATGAGAAACACCCAGCCTGCCCCACCGCCCCAGCGTGGCACCCCAGGCACTCAGCCTGATGGAGGTGGGAACCCACAGGGAGGATCTGTGCAGTTCGGACCCCAAACCCAACTCAGCAGGGAGGTAGCAGCTGCCATTTATAGAAGTTCTCAGGTTTTGTGATACTCATGTGCTTTCTCTTAAACACATACGGTCCCACATCTACACTGAATGACAATGATCAAGTTGGCAACCTAGAAATAAACACACTTTGCTGTGGTTTCCTGGGGCAGGGACCTACAGCCCCCACACTGCCCTCCTCAGGAAGCTGCAGGGAGCAGTGAGGTCACCTCTCAGCTCATCTCCCATTCAGGCAACCTGAGAGTCCTCAGCCACACCGGTACAGAAAATATAAAGAAATCTGATGCAAATTCCAAGTTTGTTATTCAGAGGTCACTCAGCGTTTGAAGGGTTTCTATGCTTTGCATGTCCATGCAAACTACACCGCGCCTGCAAGAGGGGCTGGTGGGGGAAGGAAGGGCTGAGCTGGGGCTGACGAAGGGTTTGGGTGCTCATGCAATCACAAAAGTACAGCTTGGTTGGGTCAGAAAGGACCTCTCAGCCCCCAGCCCCACTCCTGCCCATCAGCTCAGGCCCAGCCATGACCTCAGGCCCCCACAGCTCTGGGCAGTGTCAGGGTCTCACTGCCTCTGGGTAAAGCTTTTCTGCCAACACCTGACCCGACCCCCCCTCTGTGGCTGTTAATGATACTTGGGCGCAGCCCCTCCGCCTGTTACTTTAAAAATGCATTTTCTAGCACCTCTTTGCCTGGCAGGCAAATACTCCATCCTGACAGGGACTCCATGTAACACAATATCCCTCACATTTACATCCCAAAGCAGCCAAGGCCGTGACCAGGGGACACATCTGCACTGTGCAGCACTGGAGCACACACACAGCCCCACGCTGTGCTGCAGCTACAGCCACTGCTCATCCAGAGCCAGCCAGCTCTGAAACATGGCTGCACCTTCTCCACCTCAAATTTGCCATTCATCACAAAACACCACTCAGCAGCTGCACGAGTCGCTTTAGGCTGTTGTCTCTGTGCTCATGAGGGCATTGGGCTGGATGTCAATCATCATGTCAATCATCACATCAATCATCATGTCACTCACCCTGTCAGTCGCTCTGTCAGTCATCTTGTCAAGCACCTTGCCTACCATCCAGTTACCTTTTCCATCACTACAACAACTGATCTGTCAATCATCCCAGCAACCCCCCGCCAACCCCTCATCCAGCTCCCATCCAACTTCCATCCAGTCCCCAGAAATCTCCCATGCCAACTCCCCATGCCAACCCCCATCCAACCCCCATCCAATTTCTATCCAACTCCCAGAACCCCCCCACGCCAATCCCCATCCAACCTGCCTCCAATCCTCATCCAACCCTCATCCAACCCACCTCCAACCCCCATCCAATCCCCATCCAACCCCCAGCCCTGAGGCAGTGCACTGCCCATCAGTGCCACCCCAGTCCCCCTTCCATCCCCTCCCAGCCCCTTGGGGTGCTCTGCACAGTGTCACAGCAGTGCCAAGCCAGGAGCTATGGGCCAGCATGTGCTGCTTGGTGCTGCCAGCATTGCCCCACTGAGGCCTGGAGCACGTGGGCAGCATGAGACAGGCTGAGCCTTCAGATCTATTTTAAGCTGCTTTTGCACTGATAAAAATATATTCACCAAATCAGTGAGTAGAGCTCAGCTGAGAGAGGGAACGATTTCAAACCCAAGGCGGGGAGATTTAGATTAGATGTCAGGGGGAACTTTTTTACTGAGACAGTGAGGTGCTGGCACTGCCCAGAGCTGTGATGCTCATCCCTGGAGGTGCACGAGGCCACGGATGGGTCCCGGGCAGCCTGAGCTGGGGGCACCCAGCCCACGGATTTGGGGCTGGGTGCTGTGAGGACCCCCCCAAGGCAGTGCTGCCGTGATGCCAGGCTCTCAGACTCCACGACACTCACATCTCCAGGAATCTGACGCACTCGGTGTGCCCGTAGATCTGTGCCAGCCTCCTGGGGGTGTCCCCAAACGGGTCGGCCGCGTCCATAGGGGCGTGCACGGCGTGCAGGGTGCGCAGCGCTGCCAGCCGCCCCGCCTCGGCCGCGCAATGGGCTGCGGTCCATCCGGCAGCGTTGCGCAGGCACGGCCGGGCCCCGTGGCCCAGCAGCAGGCGCAGCATCGCCACGTGCCCTGCGGAGGGGGAACAGACGCACAGTGAGGGCTCCGCACCTCCACAGCCTCATCTGCTCTTCGAACATGGGGACGTGAATCATAGAACAGAACAGAACCCCAGAACTTGGGTCAGCAGGCACCTCAGAGCCCCCCACCCCCCAATGCCACGGGCCGGCTGCCCCCAGCTCAGAGCTCATCCACGGCCTCGGGCACCGTACGGATGGGCACCGCAGCTCCGGGCAGCGCCAGCGCCCCACCGCCGCTACACCAAACCCGCAGCTCAGCGTGACGTCGCTCCCCTCGTCCTACCCTACAGCCCCGTAAAGAGCAGTTTTCCCTCCCGCTTTAAGTACTGGGAGGTGCAGAGGGCTCGCTGCCGCCGCAGCAATCGGTGCCCTCACCCCTGGCAGCGGCCCAGTGCAGCGGGGTCCAGTCGGCCCAGTCCGCGTCCTTATGGTTGGGATCGCAGCGCTCCGCCCGCAGCAGCCGCTCCGCCCGCCCGTAGCGCCCCGCGGCCACGGCCTGGTGCAGCTCCGTCATGCTGCGCTCGCGGCTGCGGGGCGGCCATGGGAACCGCCCGCTGTCTGCCCTGCAGCGCCGCCCTCCGGCTCGGATCCCGGCACAGCGCCAGCTCTACCGAGGGATGGAGCAGCGCCCTGCCAGGCAGGCTGAGAGCTGCGGCTGGGCTGCTGGAGGGGAGAAGGAGCGGGGAGAGCGCGGAGCGGCCCGCAGCACTGCAGGGCTGCGTGAGAGAAGGGACGGACTCTTATCAGGTCTGTGTGGCAGGACAAAGGAAACGGGGTCAGACTGAAGGAGGGCGGATTTCGGTTGATGTAAGGAAGGAGCTGCTTGCAGGGAGGCGGTGAGGCACTGCACAGGGTGCCCAGAGGTGGTGCTGCCCCGTCCTGCACACAGCCAAGGCCAGGGGACGGGGCTCTGAGCGCTGAGGAGCTGTGCTGTCCTGTGCACTGCAGGCCTGCATGATGGCCTGGGGGCCCTTCCTGCTCAAACCCGCTGGCCGTGTCCCTCAGTGCTGCAGCACTGTCACACAGGTGACAGTGGGGGGGGGGGTGAGGCACTGGAACAGGTTGCCCAAGGAGGCTGTGGATGCCCCATCCCTGCAGGCATTCAAGGCCAGGCTGGATGTGGCTCTGGGCAGCCTGGGCTGCTGGCTGGCAACCTGCACACAGCAGGGGGTTGGAACTGGATGAGCACTGTGGGTCTTTGCAACCCAGGCCATCCTATGATCCTATGATTCTATGATACTGATGGATTTTGGTGCTGCTCAGTTGGGTTCAGCAGTGCCATTGGCTTTAAGATCCCCGTTAATGAAATCCTTCACACACCTCCTCCTGGCTGCCTCCTGCTGACCCTGAAAAACCTGTTCTGTAGTGAAGCAGAGCTGTGGGAGCAGTCCTCCAACGGCTCTCTTTGGCAATAAACGAAATGCTTTAATGCTTCCAGCCCTTCACTGAAACAAAACTACAGGGAAAAAAAACTGCTGGCAACGTTCAAAGTTCTCTTTTGTTATTGTGATGGGATTTGGGGTTTTTCCCAGCGTGCCGCCCCCACTGAGCGTATTGCCAGTCAGCGCAGCGGAGGGCGCACAGCGCACGGGGCACATCCGCAATAACAGCGGGGCCCCGAGCTGCTCCACCCGCCCCACAAACGGCTCTCAGAAGCGGGGCTCACTTCTAACGGGATGCTGACCCCGGTTTGTAAAGCCGGATTTTGCAGCGTCCCTGAGACCCGCCGCCCCAACGCCGTGCTCCCCAAAGCCACGGGACGCGCGTGTTGGCGCAGCTCCCACGAGCACGCTTCCTTTCCAGGCTCGGGGAAAGCCTCTCCCACAAACACCGTCCCGGCTGGGAAGTGAGGCGGAGTTTGGTCCCTCCCCCCCCGGCAGCGCCCGGCACGCGTCCGTCCGTCCGTCCGTCCGTCCGTGCGCGCACGGCGCGCAGCAGAGGGCCGGCACACCGCAGCAGGTACGGGCAGCTCTGCCCGTGGGCAACGAGGGCGGGGGCACGGCGGTGCTGAGAGGGTCGGGGAGGAGCTCTGGTCACACCGAGCTCACAGCCGCCTTCTTACCCTACCCAAATCCATGCGGAAGGATAAGGGGGGAGGGGGGGGTGCAGTTGAGCCGGGGGGACGCGGCCGTGCCGGGCGGCTCCGCTGGGTGGGAGGAAAGGGAAACTGCGAGGTCATCGAATGTGGCTTCGGGTATCCAGGGAGCGCCCGGCACCGGGAGAGGCGAAGTGGGGCGGGGTGCTGCCGTGTGTGCGCTGCTAGGGCTGTCTGCACGTCCTGGGGGCTCCGTCCCACCTGAGCTCTGGGAGCCTGGGAGATCCCAGCTCCTGTCCCGGCTCCTTTAGAGCAGATGGGCAGCCACAGCCCTCTCAGGACGTGTTTCCTCTGCCGTGTTCTGAGCCCCATGAGCTATTGGTGTTCATGTGCTGAGCTCTGGATTGTCTCTCTGCAGAAGGATCTGCCACCAGTGCCTGCTGGACTTTACCCCTCCTGCTCTTCTGGGCAGAAACTGGGGTAGAGTATCACGGAATCACAGAATGGTTTGGGCTGGAAGGGACCTCAAGGATCACGAAGCTCCAACCCCCCACCACAGGCAGGGCCACCAACCTCCACATTTCACAGCAGCCCAGGCTGCCCAGGGCCCCATCCAACCTGGCCTTGAACACCTCCAGGGATGGACGGGGCATCCACAGCCTCTCTGGGCAAGAGAGGTTGCAGAGTGCAGAGCAGAGCGCTCCCCATGACACAGCCCTGGGGATGGGGCTGACAGCAGCCGACAGCTGGGACTCACACAGGGGTCACACAGGTGCCCTCAGGGCAGCTCCAGGAGTAACCAGAGCTCACCCCTCTGCCTCCAGCTGTCAGTGGTGGTCGGCCGCCCCATTTGTTCCCAGGTAAATACTGTCCTGAAGCTGTGGGTTGCTTTTCCCCCACACCCAGTGCATGTGTGAATGCCCCACACCCAGTGAAACCCGCACTCCCAGGGCTGTGATGGGGACATCTCCTTGCCAAGCCTCACTGAAATGCCAGGGTTTGGAGGCTGCCTCCACGTGCAGAGTTTCTGTTGACTGGAAAAGCAGCTGAGCACAGCACATTTGTATTCCAGTGACAGCCTCAGCCTTGTCGTCCTGACACAAAGACCTCAGTGTGAAGGACTCCCCTTCCAGCCCCCCTGCTGTCCCCAGGCCAGCTCCTCCCCTTCAAGCAGAGAACAGAACAGTCAGAGGAAAAAAACCTTTAAAAAGAGATGCATGGGTGGTGGTCTGATGTACCTGATGCACAAGTAAAGGATGTGATGGTTTCTTTCAGAGCGGAAGGACCTGGAGGTGGGGAGGTGTGAAGCCACAGGTTTCCACCCTGCCGCCACCTCCTGGGAAGCAGCCCTGTGCTATTCCCAACCCCCCGAGCAGAGCAGTGAGCCGGCTGCTGCCTGCCTGCACCCTGCTGTGGGACCTTCTGCTCTTCCTAAGAAGCGATGGCATCGCTGTGGGCGAGAGCTCGGAAGGTGTTCATGACAAGTCGTGCTTCAGGTAAGGAATGTCTTTTCTGCATCTATTCATAGAATCATAGAATGGCCTGAGTTGACCTCAAAGATCATCCAGTTCCAACCCCCTGCTGTGTGCAGGTCGCCAACCAGCAGCCCAGGCTGCCCAGAGCCACATCCAGCCTGGCCTTGAATGCCTGCAGGGATGGGGCATCCACAGCCTCCTTGGGCAACCTGTGAACAGTGCCTCACCACCCTCTGGCTCAAAAACTTCCTCCTCACATCCAACCTAAACCTCCTCTGTCTCACTTTAAAGCCATTCCCCCTTGTCCTATCACCATCCACCCTCACAAACAGCCGTTCCCCTCCTGTTTATCCGCTCCCTTCAAGTACTGAAGGCCACAATGAGGTCTCCCTGCAGCCTTCTCTTCTCCAGCCTAAAACCGTGAGCAAATGCAGCCTAGCAGGCTGCTTGTGGTGCTGCGGCAAAAAGCAGCTCTGTGAGATGAGAAGCGGAGCTCACTGGGATTTGCCAACAGGAAAGGCAATATGACACCACACGGAGCTCTTCCAAAACGTGATGTTTTATTTCTGCCTTTTTTGGATGAGGAATAACCCCCCCACAGCCACCCAGCACTGAGCTGCAGCCCACCCTAAGCTTTAAGGCTTCACAGGAAAACCAAGTTCGCTTTTGTTTGTTGTATTTGAGGCCCAAACTCCCACAGTTCCCCAAATCCAGCACTTGGTCCATTGCTGACCACACAGCGCTCATTCCCCTGCTGACACGCTGCTCTGGGCAGCGCTGCGACGAGCGGAGCAGGACTGTGGTGCTGCCACGCAGCCCCTGCAGCAGCAGAGCCGGGCACAGCGGCTGCTCGGCCACGTGCAAAGCTCCTGCAGCGCTGCTCTCAGCAAGGAGCACCGCAGGGCTGCGGGCAGCCGAGGCGCCCTGCACTTCTGGCTGTGTAGAAGCCCGGCAGCGTCACCGCGGGCTCAGGCAGCACGTGTGCGTTCCGGGCAGCGCAGTGCGGTGCAGTCAGGGCTGTGTGGGCTCTGCGGGCTGCGAACGGCTGGGCGGTCTGTCAGTAGGGCTCCCCGCGCGTCGCAGCCCCGCTCCGGCCGCCTCTACGCCGCCAGGTCGAAGTCGTCGCGCTCCTGGTTGTAGTCGAGCACCTTGAGGCGCAGGCGGGAGGCGTCGGCCCAGGTGATGAAGTCCTCCATGGCGCGGGGCACGAGCAGAGCGGGGTCGGTGATCACCTCGGGCCCGACGCGGACATGGCCCTGCTCCACGAAGGTGACGGCGTGCCGCACGTTCTGCGCCATGCGCAGCTTCAGCAGCAGGCAGGGCAGGCGGCGGCGGCAGAACGAGGCGGCGGACACGCGCTCGCACACGGCCAGGGAGCGCCGCGAGGCCACGAGCCCCAGCGCGTACAGCTTCTCCAGCAGCGCGGCGGCGCAGCGGCTGCGGAAGGCGGCGCTGGCCGGGCTCAGATCCCGCAGCCGCCGCGCCAGGGCGCGCACCTCCCGGGCCAGCGCTTTGTACCGCGCGTAGTCCTCGCGCCGCCCCACGCGGTACCGCCGCAGCGCCCGCACCTCGGCCAGGTTACCCGGCGCCGCCTCCCAGCTCACCAGCTCCAGCCGCCGCAGCAGCTTCTGCTCGTGGTACTTCAGCTTCCGCACCATCTTGCCGCCGCCGCGCCGCCGAGCCCTTCCGGGGAGGAGCGTCGGGGTCGCGCTCCGCTCCGCCCCGCCTCCCCGGGTCCGGAGCGGGGACGGCGGCGCCCGCGGGGCTGCCGGTGCGGGCGGGGCGGGGCGGAGCGGAGCCGGGCAGCGCCGTGCCGAGGTGCCGCCCCGCGGGCGGGCCGAGCGCTGCGCCGGCTGCCCGCACGGAGCCCGCCTCCCTTCGCTCCGCTCCTCGCGTCCCCGCGGTCCCGGCGGCTCCGCGGCTCTCCTGATGCGCCGCGTTTTGTCCCCAGGTTTATCGGCGAAAGCAGCGACGGAGATGGGCAGCGGCGGCTCGGAGAAAGGCTATCGGATCCCCGCCGGGAAGGGCCCGCACGCCGTGGGCTGCACGGATCTGATGACCGGCAACGCGGCCGAGGTACGGAGCCGGGACGAGCCCCAAGCCGGCCGTGTTTGTGCGCAGGGCCGCCGCGTGCGCTCCGGCTGAACGCGCTTTTCCATCCCAGCCCAGCACGGGGGGACGGCGGCAGCCCTCAGCCGTGGGGTCCACGGAGCGCCCGGCTGTCGGCTCCGCGCGGCTCCCTCTGCATGCTGTGCTCAGGACGGTCCCGATGCGGGTCGGCAGGGCTGCGTGATGAGCGTGCGCTGCTTCAGCTGCGGGACGGAGCGTGAGAGACGAGACGGTGTCTCCGTGGAGGAGAACAGGATGTCAGTTCTGCAGTTGGTAGAGCAGAGAGACAGCACGATAAGACAGGAACGGCAGTAGCCAGCTGATGGGCTTGCTTACAAGTTTCTGTTTCATATCCTCTTGCTTTTTAATCTTGCACTGCAGTTTTGCTCTCCACACTTGTCAGGTACCATCCGCTTGCAGAGGTTGGCCATGGGTTTTGTTCTGCTCCACCTGGCTGCTCTTACAGCACCAAAGAGGGTTGGTTTCTCTCTGCAGTCAGCCCACGTCTTTTCCTTAGATAAGCAATCAGCATGGTTACAATTCTTAGTGATAGATAATGAACCTTTCCCCTGTTCTGCTCAGCAGTTGCTCACCAGGGGGAATTCACTGTGACTGCTCTGGGGTTGAATTAATACAATTACCTGTCTGGCTGAAGCTTTGCTGCTTTCTTCCTTCACTGCCTTTGTGTCACACACTGATGTAAGTTTAGGAGAAAGTTTTGCACACAGAGAGTGGTGAGGTGCTGGAACAGCTGCCCAGAGAGGCTGTGGATGCCCCGTCCGTCCCTGGAGGTGTTCAAGGCCAGGTTGGATGGGGCCCTGGGCAGCCTGGGCTGCTCTGAAATGTGGAGGTTGGTGGCCCTGCCTGTGGTGGGGGGTTGGAGCTTCATGGTCCTTGAGGTCCCTTCCAACCAAAGTCGTTCTGTGATTCTGTGATTAAGGTACAGGTGGAACAGGACAGTGGCTTCAAACTGCTTGTTGCACATCCCACTGCAGACTGGGAAGCATGAGTGCAGATTGCAGTGTCTGTGGGAGATCTCCTTGCAGTGCTCTGTGCTGCAGCGTGCAGTTCACAGCAGGAACAGAGGGATGGTGACACAGCACTGCCACCAGAGCTTAGCTTATATTGGACAATAATTTTCTCATGACATTCTCTAAATTCTCTTGAGCTGTTCTTGCAGCTGAAGTCCTTCCCTAAGGTAAATCTGACCTTTTCTTTGCCATACATCAATAAACAGCAATCTTTCCTTTTTGAGGATAGTGGCCACCCTCAGCAAGTTTGCTGATGATACGGAGTTGGGAGGATTGGCTGACACACCTGAAGGCTGTGCTGCCATTCAGCGAGACCTGGACAGGCTGGAGAGCTGGGCAGTAAGAAACCAGATGAGGTTTAACAAAAGCAAGTGTAGAGTCTTGCACCTAGGGAGGAATAATTGCATGCACCGGTACAGGTTGGGGGATGAGCTGCTGGAGAGGAGCTCTGCAGAGAGGGACCTGGGTGTCCTGGTGGACGACAGGTCGGCCATGAGCCAGCAGTGTGCCCTTGTGGCCAAAAAGGCCAATGGCATTCTGGGGTGCATTAAAAAGAGCGTGGCCAGCAGGTCGAGGGAGGTGATCCTCCCCCTCTACTCTGCCCTGGTAAGGCCTCATCTGGAGTACTGTGTCCAGTTCTGGGCTCCCCAGTACAAAAAAGACAGGGATCTCCTGGAAAGAGTCCAGCGGAGAGCCACAAAGATGGTGAAGGGCCTGGAGCGTCTCCCCTATGAGGAAAGGCTGAGTGATCTGGGTCTGTTTAGCCTTGAGAAGAGAAGACTGAGAGGGGACCTGATCCAGGTCTATAAATATCTAAGGTGTGGGGGGCAAAGTGGCGAGGCCAGACTGTTTTCAGCAGTGTGCGGAGACAGGACAAGGGGAAATGGCCAGAAGCTGGAGCATAGGAAGTTCCGCACCAATGTGCGCAAGAACTTCTTTACGGTGAGGGTGACGGAGCACTGGAACAGGCTGCCCAGGGAGGTGGTGGAGTCTCCTTCTCTGGAGATATTCAAGACCCGCCTGGACGCCTACCTGTGTGACCTGGTGTAGGGATCCTGCTTTGGCAGGGGGTTGGACTCGATGATCTCTGGAGGTCCCTTCCAACCCCTACGATTCTGTGATTCTGTGATTTTCTTTTGCTAATTCCAGGGAAGCTTTTTGCGGCTGTATTATCCATCATGCGACGACACAGATATTGAAGAGACGCTGTGGATTCCAGATAAAGAGTACTACCAGGGGCTGTCTGACTTCCTCAATATGTACCGGATTGTGGGAGAAAGGCTTTTCCAATATTATGTTGGTAAGAGTGCCTTCGGTCCCCAAAGTATTTGCAGAATTGGACTGATTCTCAGGTGACCTCTCTGAAACCTGCAGTCTGCAGGCTATTGAGATCTTTCCTACAGAGAGGGTCTGTAGGTTTAAGTAATAATGGCACGTGCTTCCATTTTCATGTAGGTTCAGTGACCTGTCCTGCAAAATCAAATGCTGCTTTTAAGCCAGGAGAAAAATACCCACTGCTTGTTTTTTCCCATGGACTTGGAGCTTTTCGGTAAGTCTGCAGCTCGTTGGCAAACTCTTTTTGTCACCCACAGTGATGTCAGTGGCCAGGAATGGTGCTGAATGGGTCTCAGGATGGGGTGAGATCCCCATGGGGCTGAACACAATGCAAAGAACAGGCTGCTGTGTATCACTATGCTTCCATTGAAATCAGTGAGGCAGGATTGGCTTCTTTGTTTGTTTCCCCATTAAGTTTCTTTGCTGTGAGAGTGGTGAGGTGCTGGAACAGCTGCCCAGAGAGGCTGTGGATGCCCCGTCCATCCCTGGAGGTGTTCAAGGCCAGGTTGGATGGGGCCCTGGGCAGCCTGGGCTGCTCTGAAATGTGGAGGTTGGTGGCCCTGCGTGTGGTGGGGGGTTGGAGCTTCATGATCCTTGAGGTCCCTTCCAACCCAGGCCATATTGTATTTTAGAGGTGTAGGTATTTATTGAGCCAGAAGGATGTTGTGAAGATGATCTGCAACTAAAAGCAAGAAAGCACCAAAAAGCAATCACCAAAAGCCCCCTTTGGGAACAGACATACACAGCCTGCCCTGCTGGCTGAAACAAAATAGGAACGGGGGACTGTTGTGTCTGTGGCACAGTCAGTGTTTAAGGAGCTGTGTAACCAAAACGATTGTGTCCATGTGGTCACCAGAGTGTCTTTTGATTGCAGGACCATCTATTCTGCTATCTGCATAGAGATGGCTTCTCAAGGCTTTCTGGTGGCAGCTGTGGAGCACAGGTGTGTGTACTGCGTGTTACTGAGTCCTGATGGAAAGAAACTTGCTCATAATAGAACGCTTCTGGTTGTACAGAAGAACTTTTGTTTTGAAAGAGTAACTAACAGCTTCAGCTTCCCATTCATCTAGCTCTATTCCCACCTAGCTAGACAAAGGGAAATTAATTTGAAGCCTTGAAGGAAAGTTGTTGTGGGTAGTTATCGTTTGTCATTCTTTAAGCATGCTCTTTTTGACTGTTAGAACCCCCAGAACGTGATGGTGGTGGGGTTTCTCCATTGTTTGAAAAGTCTTGCCTGCACTCAGTGGGTTGTGCAGCAGGGTTGGGAGCTTTGACTTCCTGAGACAGGTCAAAGCTAAGGCTTCTTTGAACTTCTTCCCAAACAAATGGCTGCAACGTCAGACGTAACCTTTGGTTGTTATTTCAGAGATGAATCAGCTTCAGCAACGTATTTCTGTAAAAAGAAGGCTGATGCTGAACCAGAGGAGTCTGCATCAAGATTGGAGAAGGAGTGGATCTACTACAGGAAGCTCAGAGCAGGAGAGGAAGAACGCTGTGTGCGGCACAAGCAGGTACAGCCCAGGGCTGTGCTCTGCATGGGGCAGGAGAGGCGTGTGGTCCGCTGAGTAATGCTAGCAAGGCTTTCCCTTTGGCCACGTCTCAGTCTGCTGCCGTGGTTCTGTGGAGATACAAAAAACTCCTGAAGATGGGAGCACCAACAGTGTCTTTCTTCCATACGTGGGGGAGGTTTGGATGTAAGGAAGGAGCTGCTTGCAGGGAGGCGGTGAGGCACTGCACAGGGTGCCCAGAGGTGGTGCTGCCCCGTCCTGCACACAGCCAAGGCCAGGGGACGGGGCTCTGAGCGCTGAGGAGCTGTGCTGTCCTGTGCACTGCAGGCCTGCATGATGGCCTGGGGGCCCTTCCTGCTCAAACCCTTCTGTGCTTCTGTGCTAAACTGCTTCTTCTGGAAAGCTTTCTCGTGAGGTTCTGCCGGCTGCTTAGTCAGTTGTTCCACCTCTTTCTGTTTCTCTTCATATTCTGCTTCTCCTCCGTGTCTGCACAGTTCTGCTGCTCAGCCTCGTCTTTAAGGGACACAGAGTTGCATTCAGATGTCTGTGCAGCCTTAGGCATGCTTCTAGCTCTTGTTTATTACTGGATAGCGAGATGAATCATGTCTGCTGTAAGGGGGATGTTTGCTTTTTCACCTTCAACACACTTAATGTGGTTTATAGCAATGTAAATGCAAGTTCCTGATGACAAGCAGCATCCACGCTGGATGCCCTATAGCCGCAGTGATAAGCTCTTCCAAGCACTGACCTGACCTTTAAAACGTGGGAGTGTTTTCTTCCATGCAGTGCAGACTCAACCAGAGCAGTGTTTATCTCACTGGGCCAAATGGGCAGCAGTACGAGTGTGCTTTCCTGTGTGCATAACAACATCCTCCTAAATGAGGCTAAATATATCACGTTGGACCTTGTAAATAAGCTGCAGGAGCTGCTGCCTGTGTATTTCACTAATCAAGAAGTCAGGAGATGGAGATTTACTTGAAACTCAGGACATCCTGCTGGCTGGCTGCAGTCAGTTTTTCCCAAAGCCTCTGCTGCTCTTTGGTTCTTTTTGAAGTTTTTCATCTACCAAAATATCAAAATCCAACCCACTTCTCATACTGAACGCTGAAATGCTGTATTTGCAACAGCTTCAATACGCTTTTCACCAGTGTTATGCATTGAAAATAGGAAGGGCTTCTAGGCTGTTTCCTGTTCTGGGTACATCCAGCATAAAGATGGCTTCGGAGCTGTTGAGATGGGGCAAAGTGATGCAATGGTGTTTGCTTACCAAAGTGAGCATGAGGAAGAGGCACAAGTCAGCCCTCCTTGTGGTTGTGTAACGTCAGCCTCTGCACATCCCTGCACCTCTGTGAGAAGTGAGGCAGTGCAGGGGTTGAAGGTTTTCGGCCTGTGTTACAGGGACAAATTCCTGTGTGTGTGGAGGATCTGCATAAAGCCTCAGCATTTTTGGGCCTCCAAAATCCAGATTTCACATTGAACAAAATTTTCAGGCTTTTGTTTTACACAGCCGCTCTGCAGTTTGTAAGTGCTTTCTGCATCAGCCACTGAGGTGCAATATGTTGTGTACAGAGGGCCAGCAAAGCCAGCAGATCTCCTACAACTCCCAGTTCATTCCTCTGTTCTGCCCCATCTGTGTCTCCCAGGTACAGCAGAGAGCACAGGAGTGCATCCAAGCACTCAACCTCATTCTTAAGATCAATTCAGGAGAGGAAGTGATGAATGTGCTGAACTCAGGCTTTGACTGGAACCACCTGAAGGTGAGTGAGAGCTGGTGGCTTCCTTCTGTTACAAGCCCAGTAACAGTTCTGGTTTCCCTCTGCCATTCCTAAACTGCTTCTTGTAGATTGTTCTGAATGCCTCACTGTAATCTATGAACATGTTCTCAGGTCATCTGTATAGTAATGGAGCTGAAACTGTGCTCTTCCAACTTCATTAGGATCTATTGCCTAAAAACCACTTCAGATTGAGAAAAAAAAAGTCTCTTACAGCAGCTGGCTTTCTCTTGGCAGGATTCTGTTGATACTAGCAGAATTGCTGTGATGGGACACTCTTTTGGTGGTGCTACAGTTATTGAGAGTCTCAGCAAAGAAATTAGATTTAGGTAAGTATGTAAAACAAAGGAAGGGAACTTGGCACCTAGCAGGGCACCTTCCCTAAGGTCCCATTAACTGGCTCTCGAAGAACAGCTGCTTGGCACATCTCATTTTCTCAGCTCATGCTTCGTTCAACTTTGGGGATGTGGTGGAACTTAATAGCTCTGTGGTAGTTTGTTGTGATGCCCTGAGTGCTGGCAGGCCAGCAAAAAGAATAATGATGGATCCTCTTCCCTGAGAGTAGAAGCACATTGCTACAGAGTGATTCAATAACGTTTACCTATTCAGTATCCTGAGATTTTCCCCATGTCTGCTGCAAATCAAAGTGCCCATACAAAGCTGTGTACCTGTGATAATACCCAGATGTTGTTTTTGGCAGGTGTGGCATTGCCCTTGATGCCTGGATGCTCCCAGTAGGCGATGACACTTACCAAAGCAGTGTGCAGCAACCACTGCTCTTTATCAATTCTGAAAAATTCCAGTGGGCTTCCAATATCTTAAAGATGAGGAAGCTTAGCTCCAATGATACAAACAAGAAGATGATCACCATCAAGTAAGTGCTGTGGATCCACCATTTCTGAAGCCTAAGATGAGTCTTTGTTTTCAAAACTTATTCTCATGTTGGAGCTGTTCAGATGCACGTGGCTGCAAGAAAGAATGACAGGCCCTGCTTCCTCAAGGCTTCACATTTAAATCAAGGGGTGGCCAGCAGGGACAGGGAGATGATTGTCCTTCTCTGCTCGGCTCTTGTGAGGCCCCATCTGCAGCACTGCATCCAGGTCTGGGGGCCCCAGTACAAGAAAGACAGAGAGCTGCTGGAGAGGGTGCAGAGGAGCCACAAAGATGATCAGAGGGCTGCAGCACCTCCACTACAAAGAAAGGCTGAGGGAACTGGGCTTGTTCAGCCTGGAGAAAAGAAGGCTGCGGGGCGAATCATTGCAGCCTTCAGTACCTAAAGGGAGCCTACAGACAGGAGGGGAGTCAGCTCTTGGAAAGGGGAGATAACAGCAGGACAAGGGGAAATGGTTTGAAATTGAGGGAGGGCAGATTGAGGTTGGATGTCAGGGGGAAGTTGTTTGCTGTGAGAGTGGTGAGGTGCTGAACAGCTGCCCAGAGAGGCTGTGGATGCCCCGTCCATCCCTGGAGGTGTTCAAGGCCAGGTTGGATGGGGCCCTGGGCAGCCTGGGCTGCTCTGAAATGTGGAGGTTGGTGGCCCTGCCTGTGGTGGGGGGGTTGAGTCACCATCCCTGGATGTGTTTACAAACATTTGGATGTGGTGCTCAGGGCCGTGATTTAGCAGAGGGCTGTTAGAGTTGGGGTAGGATGGCTGGGTTGTGGCTGGAATCGATGATCTTTAAGGTCTTTTCCAACCTGAGCTATTCTACGATTCTTACAAACCTGCTGCTCATTTCTCTTTACAGGGGATCGGTACATCAGAGCTTTCCTGATTTTACTTTTGTGAGTGGAGAAATCATTGGAAAGTTTTTCAAGTTAAAAGGAGAAATAGATCCAAATGAAGCTATTGATATATGCAATCACGCTTCATTAGCCTTCCTGCAGAAACATCTGAGTAAGTGTCAGTTTGTATCGAAGTACGGTGTGAATCAAAACTCAATTCCTATGAAGCTTTTATTTTATAACCGCTGTTTAGGACAAGATCAAAAGTAAGAGCCTGATAAAAGTCTGAGCAGAAAAATACCACAGACTTTTCCTCGAGTTGTGTTATTTTTATAACTTAAGCAACTCAGAGGAAGAACATTTACATTTCAATATCCCTGTGCTGGCGTACACAACTGCACTCCCTACTTTCCCAAACTGAACAAGGGGGAATGGCTTTAAACTGAGACAGGGGAGGTTTAGGTTGGATATGAGGAGGAAGTTTTTCATCCAGAGGGTGGTGAGGCACTGGAACAGGTTGCCCAAGGAGGCTGTGGATGCCCCATCCCTGCAGGCATTCAAGGCCAGGCTGGATGTGGCTCTGGGCAGCCTGGGCTGCTGGTTGGCGACCTGCAGACAGCAGGGGGTTGGAACTGGATGAGCACTGTGGGCCTTTGCAACACAGGCCATTCTAGGATTCATCTCTCCTATGTCGTTTTTCAGTATAGTGTTACTAAAGATCTGTGTAACTCATTACCATTCGGGTTTTCTTTCCCCAATTTTACAGGTCTTAAGAGAGATTTTGATAAGTGGGATTCACTTGTGGATGGCATTGGACCCAATGTCATTTCTGGTACCAACATCGATTTATCTCCGACTGAATAAGGAATACAAGGAGGTTCTGCAAAGGCCACGTTCATCAGGACACCAGCGTTGGCCACATATTGCTTGGAGCTGAGATAGCACTGCCTCCTACACAGCTTTTGGGGTGTGAAACAACAACAAAAAAATCACAATGGAGAAAGATTTTAAGTTCAGAGGAGTTAGTGGGATTCTCTGAAATACTGCACCAGGGCAATTCTTGCTTTGCAGGCAGTTGGCAGGAGGAATCACTCAATGGTAATTCCTGACTTAGAATCAACTTTGCAGAGATAAATTAAGCTCCAAGGAATTTTGTCAGTCTGCAGCACCCAGCAAGTTTGGGGTTTGGTTTTTTTGCCATGTAAGAAAGAGCTCCTTAATTTGTTAAACTACATAAGAGTATTTCAGCTGTGTTCCAACTACTTTTCATACGAACTTACTCCTTTTTGTGTTCATGCTGCCACAGTCTCAGGTGGCTTCCATTCCAAAAGCTGCTAAAAAGGTCACTCAGAGCAAGTGTAGCTCCCCCAAGGCAGAGCTTTTACTGCAGGGCCTCCCTATCAATCCCTGTATCACCACTATCACAGGTATTGCTGCTGATAAAGCTGTGGAATAGATGCACACTGCTGCTACTTGCTCCCTGTAAAAAGGGGCACACGAGCAGTGTTTGGTTGCAGTGATGTCTCGCACATTTGCAGTACCTTCCCTGTACTCATCTCTGTTCAGGTGCCAGCAGATACAGTGGGCTGTGAATGGCCAAATGCAGCTCTGCTTTCCAGAACAAAACTGCCTGGAGCTGCCACAAGGAAGGACTCACAGAGGGGGACTGCTGACATTAAGCTGTTTGTTCCAAAACAAGGGTACAAACAAGATGCAGGCAGAGCAGTTAACACTAATTAAATATTTTTTACAAGTCTGATCTGAGATTGCAGTGACAGCTGCAGTCTGTTTTTCAGAATTAAATTCTTTACAGCCTACTACTGTGTCTTGTCTCTACTAAGAGCATCAACATGCACGTGTTTCTCTTACTGAGCCAGCACTAATGCTGGAGATCTCCTGTAACACTCAGCAAGACCATTACAACACAAAACCTGGTGTTTGTAAGTCATTGTGGCAGCCCCCAAAGAGACAGACCTTAGCACACTGCATGGGACAGCAGCAGAACCATTCTGCTGCATCATCACATTTGGAGGAGAGGCTCCATCTTTAGTTAGTACCATTAAGGCTGTGCTAAGAGTACAAGTTCTGTTTTGTACCAGGGGTGCAGTGGTTCAAAACGCTCAGCATGGCTCACAGTGCTCTAGAGAATCACCTGGGGGTCAAAGCAGAACCATTAACTGCAGGCAGTGCGTAGCTGCATCTGACTGTGGTACGGGTGAATGAATGTCCTGTGTGCACACAGCATTTGGCCATTGGAAAAGAAAGCACTGAACAGCATTTGCCAGCACAAGCTTTATTCCAGCTTCTTAATTGCTTTGTAATGACACACAATGCGAGGCTTCAGCCCTGAACAACTTCATTTCTATCCAGAGGAAAAAACTTCCCTCAAAAATACTCTGAATTTTCCTGAACCTAAAGAAACAAAACCAAAACAATGCAACAGCAAATATCACCACAGCAGCTCACGGGAAGCTTTTCATCAAGAACCCACTAACAGCTAGGCATAATTAAGTGCCACACCAGCATTCAGTAAGGGATGCCTGTCAAGAGGCACATTGTTTGATTAAAGCACAGTTTTAACATGCCCAACAGACAGCACCAGTCTCCCACCAAGCACCATTCATGACAAGGAAGCGTGGCAGTACCAGGCATGTGCTCAGTTACGTAGAACACCCAAGTGCTTTGGTTGTATATTTCCTAAAAACCCATTTTGGTGGGAATGGATGTGCATACAGAGACTTATTTAGCACATGAAGTGTAATAAGTCCTCTTTCAGAAAGGCTGGAGAACATGGGAATCTTCAGATCTAGCTGAACTGCAACCACTTTGCTCTTCTATGGAGAGGAAAAAACAGATCAGATGCATGAAGACATTCCTATAAACATGTATAAACACATTATTATTTGAAATCACAATCATCTACAAGCCTTCGGACCAAACATTATCAATTTATTGGACCACTCTAAAAGCCTTAGGAAAAGTTCAGTATAATGACAATTCATCTGAAACAACTGAAGTGTCCAAGCAGATCAGGAAAACAGTGCTCTCAGACTGCAGGTTTAAGTTCAAAGCCCTCCAGCCCTCGCTGGGCATAGCAGCAGCCACAGCTGGAGCTTCTGCACGCTGTCCATCAGCTCCCTCCCACTCCAAGCACCCTTCCAGCCAATAGCACATGTGGCTGTGTGCCTTCACTAACACTAACTCAGCTCTTGCTAAGAGGACATACTGATTGTAGACCATCAAAGTATTCAAGAACTGAGAGAGAAATTTGGACAGTAATAATTACCAGCCACAGAGGAAAAAGAACACTTAAATGAAGTGGTAAAAACTGTAAACATATCACACCAGAGACAGCAAGAGAGTAAGCCTGCGTTTGCATGGTGCAAATGAGAAAGGACTGATGTGAAGGTTCACCAGTCCAGCTTCCTAATCAAGCTCTCTCAAATCCTTCCTTGTCTAACACAGCACTGCTGCATGCTTCGCTGTTTGCTACTACAGCCTAGTCAATTCAGCACAGCTGTACTGAAACACAGTTTCCCGTGGGTCGAACACAGGAACAAGTTGCTCAGAGAGCTTCTGCAGACTCCATCCTTGGATCAGTTCCAGACCTGAATGGAAGGCCCTAAGCAACCTGATCTATTTGATGCTGCCTTGAGCAGGCACAGGAAAACAAAGGACTTCCAAAAGCTCCTTTCAACCAGAACTGCTCCACAGTTCCATAGATTACAGGAACTGTGCGTGATTAGAAGAACGTGTCCTATCTCCTGTGGTAAACAGAACAGATATCTGACTTCAAAATTTCTCAATAAAATCAAAGATGTATGAACATCTACTAGAATTAGAAAGCATGCAGTCCCTGAGCATCCAACCTCTTTGAGGTGCTCCAGGTAGTCTTACCTTGAAGTAAGGATTCCTCAGGCAGGGACAGCACGTCTTCTGTCACATGAGTAGTTCTCTAAACAGAAGGGGATTCTGTTAGCAAGTCTGCACAACTGCCAAAATATTCTCCATCTATATGTTTCTTTTAGAATTAGATTAACTTCTCACATCAGCCTTGCTGGACACTCCGGCACTGCTTCCCCCCACTGCCCCTCACCCTCAAGTCACTACAGATACCTTCTGCTCATTTTTAATTTGATGCAAGAAACTACATATGAATAATCAACTAAACATTCACTGGGCTATCAGCAGCAGCAGCACAGCTGAAAACCGCAGTCCTGAATTCCAGATATGAGTTTTTCATTGGTCGGTGCTTCCTGAAGTTGTAGAAAACTTTACCATTTCCTAATTAGTTAGCAATATAAGTATTTTCCATTACCTACCAATTACATGCTATGCTACCATGATTAGGAGTAGGTCCTCAGAGACAGACCTGCTGGAGAGGAGCTCTGCACAGAAGGTCCTGGTGGACAACAGGCTGTCCATGAGCCAGCAGTGCCCTCGGGCCAAGAAGGCCAATGGCATCCTGGGGTGCACTGAGCAGAGCGTGGCTGCAGGTCAAGGGAGGTGATCCTCCCCCTCTGTTCTGCCCTGATAGACATTTAGACCACTGTGCCCAGTTCTGGGCTCCCCAGTTCAATAAAGACAGGGATCTCCTAGAAGGAGTCCAGTGGAGGGCCACAGAGATGATGAAGGGCCCGGAGCATCTCCTGTGTGAGGAAAGGCTGAGCAACCTGGGGCTGTTCAGCCTGGGGAAAAGAGGGCAGAGGAGGGATCTCATCTATGTTTATAAATGTCTGAGGGGAGGTAGGAGGCAAACGGATGAGGCCAGGCTCTTCTTGGTGGTGTGCAGTGACAGGACAAGGAGCACCATACCTCAGGTGATCTGCCAGCCCAGCTGGGAATAATGTTCCAGACGTTCTCAGGATCTACAATCTCCTCACTGCCACTGCAGAGATTCAGTACCTGTATGGACAGAGCCAACTATGTGGAACCTGGGAATATATTCAAAGAAAACACAGTAGTAGAAAAAACACAACTGAGGATTCCTCACCTCTAAGAATGCTTTCAATCTGGATCTCCTAAGCAAGATATAATTAACCACTAGTAAACCTGACTATCACTTTTGATTTCTTTTTTTAAATTAGATTCACTGTTTAAATACGTCACGTTTGGTTCCCTCTACAGCACCCTAGCTCAAACCTCTCCTCGGATGCTAATTCAGGTATTGTGAGAGAGAAAGGCTGGAAAGCATCAGAGGCAGCAGGAGGCTGATCAAAAGAGATGCCACCCCATATCTGACACTCACCTCCTACAAGCAGCTGAATCAGCCTTAGATAGCTAAGGAATTTACTAGCAATGGTCTCGGCTTCCACAACCTCAAGCATTCAACCTTTCAAAGACTTACTTTCATGAAATAATCGCTTGAATTTCCAATTCTAAGTTACAGTTTAAGAACCTTTTGTAAACATATGACATCTGTGTGTATATAATACATATATATACACACACGTCTGCACATACACACACACACCCCAAACTAGAAGAAAAATCATGACCCATTCACAAATGTACTCCAGCTTTAGGAAGAGTAGCAGAAGGCAGCCCGGTATGTTGTAATGCAGTGCTCACGTTAACTCCCACCAGCCATAAACCCAGGAAAGATGCCTATTTCATGGCAGTAAGAATAGTTGTATGTTAGTTGTAATACATACTACCATTTGAATTTCTTTGCAAGTTTTCACCATTTTAACACTAATTCCTTAAAGAATCAGTAAAAAGATGCCAAATTCCGTGGCCATTTAATGGTAATACAGCTTCAAAGCTAAATACTAAGTTGCAATCCCAACATAACAGAACTACACCAGGAAGTATCCCAGAAACCAGGGACACATCTTGCTGTCCTCATAGGACCATGAATGTGAGAAAGATGGTGAAGGCAATAAGGACTCTCTCAAGTACTGAGAGAGCATCCATCCAGGATGAGATGACAATTTCTATCTAGCCTAGAAGCCCAGAATCAGACTTTGCATTACTAAGTCTTTTTCCTGCAGCAGAGTTCTGAAAAGTATGGCATAAGACAAAAGAAGGACCATGCCTTAACAACTACAGCAAGGAGCATTGAGCCGTACTTACCCTGGTGCCCTTCTCAGATACCTCCAGAATGAGAGCCTCGCACCACTGCAGAGATGTCCACACCACACACTTTGAGCCAACAGCAAAGCCCTTCAGCTTACAAGTATACCCACTGCATCCTGCAAAAATCACAGAATGGCCAGGGTTGGAAGGACCTCAAGGATCACGAAGCTCCAACCCCCCACCAATGCAGGGCCACCAACTTCCACATTTCAGAGCAGCCCAGGCTGCCTAGGGCCCCATCCAACCTGGCCTTGAACACCTCCAGGGATGGACGGGGCATCCACAGCCTCTCTGGGCAGCTGTTCAAGCACCTCACCACTCTCACAGCAAACAACTTCCCCCTCACATCCAACTGAAATCTTCCCCCTCACATCCAACCTCAATCTTCTCTCCCTGTGACGTATGAATGGAGGAGAAAAGCAAACCAAAAGACTCAGCTCCCTCACTACTGCCCCAAAGCCCCCCAGCAGCCCTCCAAACTGTTTTAATTAATAAATAATTGGAAGTCAGCAATCTGTTATACTGAACAGCCTTGAAAATGTATTCTTGTTTAGAGGTTGCAACATCAACCTCTCAAAGACTGCTGCTGTTAGACTGCCATGTTACCTATGAGATTCTGCTTTCCATAACCCATCTGAAGTTATCACTAACATAAAGCCCTCACAGCTTATTAGGGAATAAATCAGATTTTAATAGGAAAGCTATTCTCATGTTTAAATGAATGATTACTTAGCCCTTGAAAATCAGATACTCTACCTGCACTATAGTCAGCCATGTTATCACTTTGCTTTTTTCCTGTTTCTTCACCAGGTTTACAGTCTGAAGACTGCACATGTATAGGAGTGCTTCCACATTCTTTAAACAACTCGTCCATGTCTTGCTGCATCCATTCTTTCACATAACAGTCATCTCTCTTTTGCAAATCCAGAAGCTGATCAATCTCAGTACTTACTACTGCCAGCATATCAAGGACCTTTGGTTGTTTCTCAGGCCTACCGTCAGAAGAAGGCAGCATGAGGACAGGCTCTACTTCCATCCAGTCTTCTTGCACAGCTTCTGCTCTATGAACCCCAGAGCAATTCAATTCCAGCACCTCTGCAGTCTGCCTCAAAGGCAGAGTATCAGAAGGAAACAGCTCTACTGTCTTTGCTGCATCACTAACAGGAGGCATTGAGCTCCCTCCCTCACTAAGTGAAGGCAAGGTTTCAGACTGCAGGACTGCTGAGTGCCCCATCTCCTCCCACAGGAGCAGGGGCTCCTGTACTTCCCCTTGCAGCGCTTTCTCTTTTGCTTCACTGCCTGGAGCAGTCTGCATTCCAAGTGCCTCTGTTTCCAGTGCTTCCTTCATCTCACCAGCAACTGAGGGCAGCGCTGCTATTTCCTCCAGCTCCAGTATCAACTCTTTTAAATCATCATAAGAGGAGTGCATTTGTAATTCATCTATTTTGATCAGTGCCTCTGTTGTATCACCCATCGAAGGCTCTACCTGGAGCCATCTCATCAGCTCTTCTTGTTCATTTCCTGGCAAAGGACTGGCTGCCCTGCCTTCTGCCTTCACCTCAACATCCTGCAGAAACAGTAATTCAGATGGCTCTTGTACTGCAGATTTCATTCCACCCCCCAAACTGTGAAGACTGCAGCTTCCTCCTGGCTCTAATAATACTTTGCTCTCATCTTCCAGTGGAGCAATCTCTTTATCAAAGCTGCTTCGATGCTCAGCTGTTTCACATCCACCAGCCACCTCCCCAGACTCAGCAGACAGGTTTGCTTCAGGCCCACCTGAACACCCACAAGGTCCACCCAAGGAGCACTGGAAACAAAGCAAGGCACTTTCACTTTCTTCTTGAGCTAATCCACAAGTAGCAGATTCTTTTTTGATACAAAGACCCACATCACTGCTTGAACTTCTGTTTCCCTCTAAGGGACCCTCAGAGTCTGCAATAGCTTTGTGACCACTTCCCATATCAGCCTTCCAAAAAGATTTCATCTCTTCATTAATATTCCTCCCAGGAGACTCCAGTTTGACAGCACACAGAGGGACTTCAAAAGCTTTATTCTCCTGAGTTCCCAGAACTTCAGCTTCTAGTAGGAGCTCTACAGTCATATCATAAAACTTGTCTTTGGCTTCACTGAGCCATGAGCCCTCTGAGGGACTGAAACCTGACAGACAGCAAGCAAATGCTTGATTAGGCACCTGAAGCAACTCACACGGAATTGGTTTGAGCATCTCCAAGCTAACAGTCTCCTCACTTCCATAGTCCACATGGATAACAGCTGCCTCGTTGCCCTTTACGCTGCTGACCTTAGCTCTGTAGAGCTTCCCATCTTCGCTGTACTTTGCTAGGCAAATATCACCACTTTTAATGCAACTGTCTATAGAGTTTAGTCCAAGGTTTTCAGCTTCCTTTATTTTTTCCTCTATGTAGGTCATGTTTTTTTCATCAGCACTGCAACTCCAAAAATAGTCTGGACCATTTACCACCGTGATATAAACATTTACAGTCTGGCCTGCCTCGGGGAACTTCCAGGTAAGTGATGTACAGTCACAGGAAGCTTCATTTTGTGCCCGAGGAGACGAAGGCTCACACGTATTTACCGCATCACTTCTGTCAAGCGTTCCAGTTGAATAAGATCTTTCATCAACTAAATCCACTGTTATTTCACCTTGATCATCACTGAGAATAACTCCCCACTTACCATCAACCTCCTCCACAAACTCACACGTTAGCAGAGCCTCACTTACCCTCTCCGTGAAGCAAAGAGCTGCTTTCTCTGCCCAGTCTGTACTCTTTTCGCTTTTAAGCCCACCGAGGAAGCAATGAATGCCTATTGCTGGAATAGATTCTAGGTCTTCAGGGAGCCTGCGTACTTGATCAACATCAACTACTGAAGTATTACCATAATCAATATATCGTATGCTAATCAAATGGTCAGATGCCTTCTCTTTTACTACAGCTCTGTACCACAGGCTGTCGTCTGAATACAGAGCACAGATTAAGTCCCCAGCTTGCAAGAGCTGCCCGCAGGGGATCTTTGTTGGCATCTCATCCTTTAAGCGTTCTGAAATGCTGTGAAGTTGAGCCTCATCACTTGCCAGTTGAACATAAAAATCTAAAGGATTATTTACATAGGAGACATACGCTGACACTGAGAGAGCTGGCACCACACTCTGTTGTGGCAGATCAGTTACACACTTCAGCAGCACACAACTGCCTTCAGTATCACATTCATTATCTGACTTTGCATCCATCTCTGCAGAGCGCAGAGACTGCATTCCCTCCACTTCATTTAACAGAGCATCTTTCGTACTGCTGACCTTCCACTCAGATGCCAGTAACTCAGCAGCCCGTTCTCTCTTTGCAGCAGGCTGGAGAAGGGTTACATCTCTTTCTTTGACGTGCATTTTGCTACTCCTCTCTCCTCCCTGGGCTTCAGATCTGCAGTTTTTACTTTCTCCTGTATTTGGAGGAGACTGTGTAGCCCCATTCCTCTTTTCCATATCCGCACTAGAGTACAAAGCTGCACTCCTTACACACCTACATGCTTCTGCATTGCTTTTTAATCTGAACTCCTCCTTCAATTTTGCATTGATTTGTACATTACCATCAAACAGCTCAATCAACAGTTTACCACCAGATTCTTTTGCTACAACAATTGCTTTTAATTGCCTTTCAAGGACCGCTTCCTTAAACCACGCTGTAGCTTCCTGGGGAACGTCAGGTACGTCAGCTAAGGAACACTTTACGGCCTGCATTGGCAAAAGCAAGATATCATGAGCATCACCCGGTATAGGAAGCAGATGATCTTCTTCAATGGTCTCCGTGTTCCCAAAATCCACAAAAAAGACTTCCTTGGTGGGTTTTGTTTTTGTAAGGACCCCCCGGTACCAGTGGCTGTCAGTATACCTGGCGAGACACAGCTCACCAGACCTCTGCCACGTTTCTAAGCCTGACGTCGTCCCACTGAGACGAGAAACGTTTTCACTAAGCCGCAACAGGACATCCGCACACCTCTCAAGCTGGCAGTAAAATGTCTGAGGATCAACAACGTGCGTAATAAAAACGTCTTCTTCACTCCCGATTTTGATGTCGTGCATGGAATAATAGAAAGAATGCAGCTGAACAGAGGCTGCCAGAGGCGTCTGAGGCGGCAGGCGCTCGGCCACACCTCTGTCTGTCAGAAATTGGCACGCGCTCTGGAAGGGCGTCATTAAATCCACGATGTTGAACAGCTCCCTGTTGTTCCTCGAAGCCAAGGCAAATATGGTGCACTGCAGTTCAAACTGATTCGAGGAGGCGTCGACAAACTCCCGGAAAGCCAGGATCGCAGCTTCATCCCAAACAAACGGGTCCTGACCGCGAGGGTGGATGAGGTTGTAAAGGCTGCACCTGAAGGCCTGGGCCTTCAGCTCAAGGAAGCGCTCGCTAATGGAGCGGAGACTCGCTAGGGACACCAGCTCCCTGTTGCCATAGTCCACGTACATGACCTCGACTTCGCCCGCAGAAGTGACATCGCTGACAATCAGAGCCCTGTACCAGCGTTCGTCCTCCGCGTACCGCGCTAAGCACGCCGCCTGCGGCCAGGCGTGCGGCCGGGACGAGCTCTCGCAGTGCTCCTGGATTTCAGCCATCAACGCAACGAACTCACCGCACTTCTTCAGCTGGCACCAGAAATAACCGGGGTTTTCAGCACACGTCACAACCACGTCGACCGTACATCCCACTTCCAGCTGACCCCCGTAGGCGGAACCGGGCCGCATTTCCTCGTAGCTCCGCCTGCACGGGAGCGGCGGGTCTCCTTCGCCGCCGCGCGGCTGAGCCGGAACGGAGGCGCCGCTTTCGGCCTCGCGCAGCAGGCAGCGCCGCAGCAGCCGGCAGAAGGCGGCGGGAGACACGTGGCCGGCCAGGCCCAGCCGCCGCATCTGCGCCACGAGCGGGGGCAGCTCGAGCACCAGCAGCCGCTGCGGCACCAGCAGCTCCCGCACCAGGCCGGGCAGCTCCTTGCCGTGCAGGCAGCGCAGCAGCTCCATCGCCTCCTCCGTCCAGGCGCCGCTCGGCGCGTCTCCGCACGCCCCGGCCGCGGGGCTCCCGGGCGGCACCAGGTCGGCCACCACGCAGCCCAGCGCCTCGGGCGGCGGGCGGAACAGCTCCGGGCCGCCCCGCGCCAGGTAGTCGGCGGACACCGTCACCGCGCGGCCCTCGTCCAGCAGGAACACGCGGCGGCCGCGGCCGCGGAGGCTCAGCACCCGGCAGCGGTGCCACAGCCCGGCCAGCTCCACCAGCCCCAGCTCCCCGGCGCGAAGCTCCGCGCCTCCCGCCGGCCGCCCGGCTCCGCGCTCGCTCCCCGCGGCCGCCCGGACGTCGGCGCACAGCCGGACGCGCTCCGCGCGGCGCTCGCCCAGCGCTCCCCACAGCCGCACCACGGGCGCCGTCGGCCGCACGTCCACGGCCCGGACCTGCAGCGAGACGGCGGCCCCGGGGCCGGGCAGCTCCGGCACGGAGCCCATCGCGCCCCGCGCAGACGGCGACCGCCTCTCCGAGTGCGCGGCGGCCCGGCGGCGGGTGAGCACATGTGCGGCCCCGGAGGGGCGGAGCAGGAGGAGGAGCAACGCAATGCACGCGGCACCGCCCCGCGACAGCGAGCGTACGCAGCGGCTCCGTAAATACGGGAGTTACCGTCGGGGCTCGGCCCGGCCCCCTCGCCGCGCACGGGCCGCCCCACGCCGGCTGTGCGGTAACGGCACGGCGCCGGGCAGAGCCCCCCGAGCGCGCTTCGCCGCCATTGGCCGAGCGGGCGCCGGAGGCGGAACGTAGGAGCGGAGCTTGGCGGCTATTGGCTGGCGGGCCGGCGGTGTCAGGGCGGGCCGGAAGGTGCTCTGGCGCTCCCTCAGCGCGGCCCGCAGTTCGGGGCGCTGCCGGCAGGGGGAGCTCGTGCGCCGCCTCTGAGAACGTCGTGCCGCGGACGATCGTGGCCGTTCGGCCCGCGCCGCGGGTCCTCGCTGTCAGAGACCGGCTTTGTCTGTAGGGACAGCTGGAAGCCGAGGAGGGGGCAGGCCGAGGCCGGGCAGGAAGGGATGCGCTCCTCTGGGGCTCTCTGACTGTTACGAGCTGCGTAGCAGTGACCGTGCCTCCGTTCCCCTCACCCGGCTCCAATCGCAGCCCTCCTTCCCAGCTCGCACAGCGCGCCCGCCGCCTCCCGCCGTCCCAGCGCCCGGAGCGCCGCCCCGCTTCCCGCGCTCGCCGCTCCTCCCGGGCGCTGACTGCGCTGCGGCTTTTCTCTCCCAGCTGGCTCTCGTTCGGCGCCGTCTCCCCAGAGGCGGGCACTGCTGCGTCCCTGCAGCTGTCCTCCAAAGGGAAGGAAGCAAAGCCATCCATGCAGCCCTATCTCCTTACACTGAGTGTGCTCAGAGGCTTCCGAAGTGACCATTATGGCACGCTGGAGCAGCAGAGCTCGGCACAGAACTGGGCAATAAAGATACGAAACGGGACGGGACGGGTCTCTTTGTCTTTGTGCAGTTTTGCACTTGGGCCGGAGGAATCCCATACAGACTGCAAGGAGCAGGCCTTGAGAGCAGTGCTGTGGAGAAGGACCTGGGGGTCTTGATGGATGAAAAGCTTAACATGAGCCAGCAGTGTGCCCTTGTGGCTCGGAAGGCAAATGGGATCCTGGGCTCCATCAAAAGAGGGGTGGCCAGCAGGGACAGAGAGGTGATTGTTCCCCTCTACTCTGCTCTTGTGAGGCCCCATCTGAGTACTGCGTCCAAGTGTGGAGCCCCCAGTACAAAAAAGACAGGGAGCTGTTAGAGAGGGTCCAGAGGAGGGCCACAAAGATGATCAGGGGACTGGAGCACCTCCCCTATGAGGACAGGCTGAGGGAGCTGGGCTTGTTCAGCCTGGAGAAAAGAAGGCAGCAGGGTGACCTCATTGCAGCCTTTCAGTACCTGAAGGGAGCCTACAAACAGAGGAGAGTCAACTCTTTGAAAAGGTAGATAATAGTAGGACAAGGGGAAATGGTTTGAAGTTGAGGGAGTGCAGATTTCAGTTGGATGTCAGGGGGAAGTTGTTTGCTGTGAGAGCAGTGAGGTGCTGGAACAGCTGCCCAGAGAGGCTGTGGATGCCCCGTCCATCCCTGGAGGTGTTCAAGGCCAGGTTGGATGGGGCCCTGGGCAGCCTGGGCTGCTCTGAAATGTGGAGGTTGGTGGCCCTGCCTGTGGCAGGGGGGTTGAAGCTTGGTGATCCTTGAGGTCCCTTCCAACCCGGGCCATTCTGTGATTCTGTGATTCTGTGGGTGGGGTTGCCTTAGGGAAAGGAAATTTGGCTTTCCTGTTCTTTGTTTTGTAAATATTGACATGGTTTTGTAATGTTAAAAAGAATGAACACTGCAGAGCCTTCTATTTGTGCCTATGTAAGCCAGAATACTGGTGACCAGGGAGCCTGCTTACACTTTAATAACACACTGCTCAACTTCATAGAATCATAGAATGATAGAATGGCCTGGGTTGCAAAGGCCCACAGTGCTCACCCAGTTCCAACCCCCTGCTGTGTGCAGGTCGCCAACCAGCAGCCCAGGCTGCCCAGAGCCACATCCAGCCTGGCCTTGAATGCCTGCAGGGATGGGGCATCCACAGCCTCCTTGGGCAACCTGTTCCACCAACTCTCATCGTAAAGAACCTCCCCCTGATATCCAATCAAAATCTTCACTCTGCTCCTCACTCGGTGCTTGCAGGCAAGACAGCACAGAAAACAAGAGATGTAATTTTGTAATAACTGACTGTCAATCTGAAACTCAAAGCTGCTGGGTAGTGCATGAAACCCTTTGCCATAGCATTGGGCATAACAAGTACTTTATAACATTGTATAATTCCATCTTAAAACGCTTTTTAGAGCCAAGATTTGATTTTGCCTCTAAATAGTTGATTGAATACTGTCTCTAAATACGTGATTGAATGCAATCCTGTGTGTGATTATGAGAATATCTGACCGACACCGTAACAATAAGGGGTTAATAATTAGAATGTATTGATTTTTGCAGAGCTCGCAGCTGGCCAGGCAGGGAGCCAGACTGCCTCCCCTGGGCTGCACACAGGGCTGCTCTTCAAACACTGTGAGTGCTTATCTGCCACCCCCGGTACAAAATCCTCAGCAGGCAGAGGACTTGGATTTGTCTTGCAGTAACATGCAGTTACCATGAGAAGCCAATTCTTGCAAAGTCAGCACCTTGCTGCCAGTGTAGGCAGCGGGTTGTCCCAGCTCCTGCAGGAAACCGCTTACATCGACCACAGCAGTGCTGTGCTCGTGGCTGCAGGCACCCGGCAACCCTACAGGCTTGGGGAGGAGTGGCTGGAAAGCTGCCTGATGGAAAGGGACCTTGGTGTGCTGATGGACAGTCAGCTGAATATCAGCCAGCAGTGTGCCTGGGTGGCCAAGAAGGCCAGTGGCATCCTGGCTTGGATCAGGAACGGTGAGCAGGACTGGAAGTCATCTGCCCTGTATTCAGCACTGGTGAGGCCTCACCTCGAGTGCTCTGTTCAGTTTTGGGCACCTCAGTACAGGAAGGCCATGGAGGTGCTGGAGCAGGTCCAAAGAAGGGCAACAAGGCTGGGGAAGGGCTTGGAGAATATGGCCCATGAGGAGAGACTGAAGGAACTGGGGCTGTTTAGGCTGGGGAAGAGGAGGCTGAGGGCAGACCTTATTGCTCTCTTCCAGAACCTGAAAGGTGATTGCAGCAGAGCGGGGTTGGTCTCTTCTCACTGGTGCCAGGACGAGGGGAAATGGCCTCAAGTTGTGCCAGGGGAGGTTTAGGGTGGATCTCAGGAAACACTTCTTTACAGAAAGGGCTGTTCAGCACTGCCATGGGCTGCCCAGGGAGGTGTTGAGTCACCATCCCTGGGTGTGTTTACAAACATTTGGATGTGGTGCTCAGGGCCGTGATTTAGCGGAGGGCTGTTAGAGTTGGGGTAGGATGGCTGGGTTGTGGTTGGACTCGGTGATCTTTTCCAACCCGAGCCATTCTACGCTTCTACGGAGGTCTCCATCTGCAACACCCTACGGACCCCGTGTCTGCACGCCATTCCTGCCGGCCGTTGCATCCGAGGAGCGGCGCTCGGCTCAACTCGCGCAGCCCCGCACCGCCCGCTCTGCCCGCCCGCGCCGCCCGAGGTCGCAGAGCGGCGGGGCGGGGCGCCATGGCGGCGGTGCTGCTGCTGGCCGCCGTCGTCGCGGTCGCCGTCGTCGCGTGGGTTTTGCGTCCTCCGAGCGATCCGAGCCGCCCCCCCTGCATCGGGAGCCGCGTGCCCTGCCTGGGGGCCGCCCTGCGCCTCGCCAGGGCGCCGCTGGACTTCATCGAGCGAGCCCGGGCTGAGGTGGGGCTGCGGGACGGGGCGTGGGGCGGGGAGCGGGCGGGTGGAACCGAGTTCGGTCCTGGCAGCCGGTACAGCACGGCGTGCAGGGACACAGAGATGAGCAGGGGCTGCGTGCAGCACCTCCACTGCGAGCACAGCTGAGGGAGCTGGGCTTGTTCAGCATGGAGAATAGAAGGCTGCGGGGTGAATCATTGCAGCCTTCAGGACCTAAAGGGAACTTGCAAACAGGAGGGGAGTCAGCTCTTGGAAAGGGGAGAAAAAGCAGGACAAGGGGAAATGGTTTGAAATTGAGGGAGGGCAGATTTCAGTTGGATGTGAGGGGGAAGTTGTTTGCTGTGAGAGTGGTGAGGTGCTGGAACAGCTGCCCAGAGAGGCTGTGGATGCCCTGTCCATCCCTGAGGTGTTCAAGGCCAGGTTGGATGGGGCCCTGGGCAGCCTGGGCTGCTGTGAAATGTGGAGGTTGGTGGCCCTGCCTGTGGTGGGGGGTTGGAGCTTCGTGATCCTTGAGGTCCCTTCCAACCCTGGCCATTCTGTGATTCTGAGAAAGAGACCTGGCATTCCTATGGAGAAGTGTGCTCAGGCTTGAACGCTCCATTGGTTCTGCCCTCATTTGCTAGCTCCTTTGATTAGCCTTACAAGAAACTTTCCAAAAAGAAAAAAAAAAAAAAAAGAGTGTTAGTATTAGCAAAGCTTTAAACTAAGGAAAAATGCCTTTAGAAATGCAGGAGGGGGGACTGCTGGTTAGTAAAACATGGATTGAATGAGGTGGAATGGCAGCGTGGGTGCTTTGCTCCAGCAGCTGAGGGATGCAGCGATGTTCCCCCACTTCTTCAAACCCAGGTGTGCTGTGCTGTGTGGGACGCAGGGTGACTCAGCCACGGGGGGGTGCTGAGGGAGGGGATCTCATCTGCTCCCAGCCCTGCAGCTCTGGGTCCTCCCTGTGGGAGCTGCGGCATAACCCACACCTTGCTTTGTTCCAGCATGGGCCCATCTTCACTGTGTGCGCCCTGGGGAAGAGGTTCACGTTTGTGACTGAGGATGAAGGAGCTGAAGTGTTTTTTACTTCAAAGGACCTCAATTTTGAGCAGGCAGTACAGCGAGTTGTTGAGAATGCAGGTAAAGGAGAGCTGCCTCTTAACAGAAATCACACCTACATGCCCAGCAGTGTTAAAGGCAACCCAGAGCCCCATGAGCACGTTACAAAATCCCGGGAAAATGGCATTCCTTCCTGAAGGTCCAGCATTGCTGTCTGCAACCCAGTTTGGGGTCAGTCAGAGGGGTGATAGAATCATGGAATCATAGAACTGCTCAAGTTGGAAAAGACCTTAAAGATCATGGAGTCCAACCACAACCCAGCCATCCTACCCCAACTCTAACAGCCCTCCGCTAAATCACGGCCCTGAGCACCACATCCAAATGTTTGTAAACACACCCAGGGATGGTGACTCAACACCTCCCTGGGCAGCCCATGGCAGTGCTGAACAGCCCTTTCTGTAAAGAAGTGTTTCCTGAGATCCAACCTAAACTTCCCCTGGCACAACTTGAGGCCATTTCCCCTTGTCCTGGCACCAGTGAGAAGAGACCAACCCCGCTCTGCTGCAATCACCTTTCAGGTTCTGGAAGAGAGCAATAAGGTCTGCCCTCAGCCTCCTCTTCCCCAGCCTAAACAGCCCCAGTTCCTTCAGTCTCTCCTCATGGGCCATATTCTCCAAGCCCTTCCCCAGCCTTGTTGCCCTTCTTTGGACCTGCTCCAGCACCTCCATGGCCTTCCTGTACTGAGGTGCCCAAAACTGAACACAGCACTCGAGGTGAGGCCTCACCAGTGCTGAGTACAGGGCAGATGACTTCCAGTCCTGCTCACCATTCCTGATCCAAGCCAGGATGCCATTGGCCTTCTTGGCCACCCAGGCACACTGCTGGCTGATATTCAGCTGACTGTCCATCAGCACACCAAGGTCCCTTTCCATCAGGCAGCTTTCCAGCCACTCCTCCCCAAGTCTGTAGGGTTGCCTGGGGTTGTTGTGACCAAATGCAGGACCTGACACTTGGCCCTATTGAAACTCATGCAGTTTACTTTGCCCCATCGATCCAGTCTGTCCAAATCAACATGCTGCTGCTCCCATGCTATTCCACACAGTGGAGTGTTGGTGCAGGACAGGGCTGGGCTGCATGGGGATGACAAAGTGACAGTTCCAGGGTAGAGACCTCTACCTGGACCCTCCAGCCTTCCTATCCCAGCCAGACATGTCTGGTTGTACATAGCAGAGACCCCTGGAGTCACCTTGCTGAGCCTCTCCTTGCACAGCTGAGAGGACGTGCTGTAGCATGAAGACCCAAACCCTTTCTTCATTGATTTCATTGATTTTTCTTTTTTGATTCCACTGGCTTTGTAGAGTGTATCTGTCCAGCTGCAGGAGGCATGGCTGGCCGTGTGGGCACTGAAGAGCAGGCAGGAAGGTGCTGTGTGGATGGACAGAGGCAGAAGGGCTCACTGAAATGCTGGCAGGACTGGGAGGGAGGCTGCAGGGAATCTCACTGCAGACAAATGAGGGTTAAGGCACTTCAGGCAGTCACAGATTACATGTGAGCATTTTCACTCTGCCCTTTGCTAGCTGCTTTACCTCCAACATGCTTCTCTTCCTTTTTGTCTGTAGTCTCTGTTCCCGCAGAAGCCTTCTATCAGAATCATGGCAAGCTGTACAGCATGATGAAGGGGAAAATGGGTCCCTCCAACATGCACATGTTCACAGGCATGCTGTGTAAGGAGCTGCACGAGCACATGGCACACCTGGGCACTGCTGGCACAGGAGACCTCATGGAGCTGGTGAGGTGAGGACCTTCCCTGCATGTCTGCAGTGCATGGAGCACAGGTGGCACCAGGAAGCACGTGGAGCTCGGGCTCTCAGCCCTTCGTGGCACCAGCACAGCCCATGGGCCACCGCAGTCAGCAGTGCTGAGGGTGCACAGAGCTCCGCATGCTCTCCCATCCCTGGTGCAGCCCTGGGGAACTGAGTGTGCTATGGCACGGCTGATCAAACCCAGGTCTGATTGGCCTGAAATGTAAAGAAGTGTTCGTGGATGATAAACTATAGGATCTGTAAGAGGCACCCATGGTAAATTTGTATTGAGTGTGACCTGTTCTTCTGGCTCTGCTGGATGAGGTGGGGTAGAAGAATTAGAATGCAGTGTCCTGGCTGAGTGTTACCTTGCTGGCTCAACGTTGCATCCATAGAACCAGCAGATGGCTCCATCTCCCCTGCGATCCGTAGGAAGGCAAGAAAGTGAGAGGCATTGGCTGAAATACAGGGTTAGAAATAGCTGGAACCAAGCAAAGACTGCCTGGTAAGGATTTTCTGGAGCACAGCAATCCAAGTGAAGCGGTCCGGGAAGGGAGCAAGGAGTCTGCAGGGTGATGGAGGAGCACAAAGGGCAGGGGTGAGACAGAAGGAAGGCAAACAAGCATTGTGCAGTCCAGCAGAGCTGCAGGTAGAGGAGGGATTGCTGTGGGGTCTGGTAGCAAAAAGGGCTGTGCGCTGCCCAGGAGGCCAACCTTGAAGAAGGTGGGTGGGTAATGGGAGCATGGGGACCTCAGTGCCACCACTCACGGTGCCAAATGCCCACTGATGGAACCTGGCTATACTCAGGGGCAGAGCCTGAGGTCTGTGTATCTCCCACCTCTGCTGAGATCTGTGAGAAGGGTCTGGCTGAGGTGCAGACCTTGTACCAGCACTTCTGTGCTGTGTGGTGCACGATGCTCAACTGCAGCTCAGTGCTGTGTCCTGAGCTCCATGTACTCCTCCTTCCCTGCCAGTCACTCATGGCCATCTTGTCCTTGCAGGCACGTCATGTATCCAGCAGTGGTGAACACTTTGTTTGGGAAAGGCATCTGCCCAACCAGCCAGAGCGAACTCAGGGAGTTTGAAAAACATTTTTGGAAGTACGATGAGGACTTTGAATATGCTTCTCAGATGCCAGAGTGCTTCCTGAGGTAATGGTAGAGTCTGTGCACGCAGTGTGCCCCATACAGGCACCTTGCTGGCTGTGATGTTAACACTCAAGGATCTTCTCCTGGAAGGGGACGTGCTGTCCTGCGGCAGGCTAGGCATGGACTCCGTTGCTGATTCAGAATGAAGACATTTATTGTAGGTGCTCACAGCCACCCATCAAACCAACCCTGTGAGTTTTCAACACGTAGCTTTTGCCCCACAAATCAACCATTTTCTGAGGTTGTTGCATTGCTTGTTGCTGAGAGGTTGGCTGCATTATCTGCAGTCCGGTTGTCTCTGTAAGCTTTGGCTGGGAGGGTACCCAGGAGGTTGCTATGCTTCCAAGAAGCAGCAGTAGATGCTGATGGACAGGGCTCAGGCTCTCAGCCTTTCGTAGCACCAGCACAGCCCATGGGCCACAGCTGCAGGGGCTTTATGGCTGCAGGGCTTTATGGCTCTGGCTGGAACTCATTACAGGCTGACACCTGTGCAAACCTCTTCCCCTCCTTTATTTTTTTTGTTCCAGCTGTGACTGATTTATTTCATTCTGATGTAAAGCAAAATGTTGCACAACAGCACAGATCACCTTTTATAAAAGGGAGTGAAATACAGGGCATGTGGGATACAGTACAATAAGGGGAAGAGGTGGATTATTCTTCTCCTTTTAAGAACCCATTTAGAATATGATAAACAAGTGAAATGTGGCACAAACATCAGAGCTTCCATGCATGTCTTCAGGCATCTTCTTTTAGAGGTGCTTGTACTCCCTGGATTTCGTTGTTGGATTAAAAGCATTCTTTGGAAGAAGTAGAAAGTTCACACTTCTTGAGCCTGGTCTGGTGGTTGGCAACCCTGCACATAGCAGGGGGTTGAAACTAGGTGAGCATTGTGGTCCTTTTCTACCCAGGCCATTCTATGATTCTGTGGTTCTGTGACTTCAGTGTGACGCTAAAGCCAAAACGCAGCTGGTACACTTCATCTTCCAGACCACTGTCAGTTGTTTTACTTAAATGTGCATTAAGCTTCCAGCTCAAATCCTAGCCCAACTTTGTGACCTCCAGCACTGAAATTCTTGCCATCAATCAAGCCTGAGAGGGTCAGCTTTACACCAGGCTGAAGAGCAAGAATGTATGTAACCAATTCCAGGCTGGAATTATTCAAGGCCAGGCTGGATGTGGCTCTGGGCAGCCTGGGCTGCTGGTTGGAGACCTGCACATAGCAGGGGGTTGGAACTGAATGAGCACTGTGGGCCTTTGCAACCCAGGCCATTCTATGATTCTGTGATCCTCATTAGCATTTTCTATAGCCAACTTTTGTAGCAGTATTTCCCATGCCTCATCACTGGCCACCTGTTTGTCCAGAATGTCTTTCAGTTTATCAATGAACTGCATGGAAGGTTCACCTTGCCCCTGCTTTATGCTGGTAAATGAACGGTGGTCTTACCTGCATCGGGGACCCTTGGAAAGGCACCAAGAGCTCTTTAGATTGATCTGAGGCCATAACATTCAGCTGTACTTGAGCTGTTATGGCAGCCTCAAGCAAGGCTTCTGTAGCAATGACTTGTAAAGGGTCCCCATTTGGCCTACCCAGATTCTGTTGCCTTTTTTGTGCAGATTCTCTCCAAAAGCCCATCCACATCATGTATTGAGTACTTATTAAAATCAGTCGTGCTGAGCTCTTGTAATCACGAGGACAAAAAGTGTGGCTTTTCATCATAGAGCTCAACAGACTCCTGGTATAGGGAGAGCCCAGCCCGAATTTAAGGACCACTTTTCCGAGCTCTGTTATTATTTGAAAGCTTGTACCTTCCCATCTCTCCTCTGGGACCCCTCTCTGTGCTTTCTCACACCTTTGCTTTTTGCTGCTGGTCTGGCACTGGGTTACACTGCTGCAGAGCTGACCTTGGGTAGAGGCAACCAGAACCCAAGCAAAGAGCTTGCAGAGCTCTCAGGGCCACAGCAACACCTTGAGTACCTCGGAGTCACCTTCAGAGAGAAGTGGGGATGCTCTGAAAATGAGGCCTTTATTTACTCAGAGATTGATCAAAGGGATCCAAAACCAAAATGAAAACCTCAGGTGGAGTGCCTGGAAATTCAGGACTCTCAACCGGGCTGCAGGCTGAGCCCTGGCCAAGGGAAGGGTTCAGTGCTGCTCCTCCATCAGCCATCAGCTGGCTGCTGCTATGGTGTTTTTGGAAGGAGACCAAGGAGTCCTTCTCATGCAAAAGGAAATGTTGGTTTGTGCTGCCTCAGTTAAGTGCTCCTTGCTTGTTGCTTTTCTTTACAGGAACTGGTCTAAATCCAAAAAATGGCTTCTAAAATTATTTGAGAAAGTAGTGTCAGATGCTGAAAGAACCAACCCTTCAGAGACCACATCCAAGGTAAACATCCGAGGCTCTGAAATGAGAGGACTTTGCTGTATAATCTGACTGAAGGAATGAAGGCACTATTTAAGTACTGGCAGAAATACACCAGATGGGTCAGCTTTTATAGATACACATTAAATTGTCCAGTAGTGCTGTTTCTTCCTTCCTAACCCTTACTTTTTGAGCACTGCTGCTCAGGGTAGTTTGTCTCCTACAGTTCCAAGACTTTAAGGTTCTGTGGGGAGTTTGAAGCCAAAGGGTTGGTGCTCTGACCCATCTGTGCTGGGTTCAGTGCTGCAGTTACAGTGAGCAGCTGAAGGAGAGGGAAAGGCCTCTTCATTGAAAGATGTTACATTAGATTAGGTTAGGTTAGATATTAGGAGGAAGTTTTTCAGGCAGAGGGTGGTGAGGCACTGGAACAGGTTGCCCAAGGAGGCTGTGGATGCCCCATCCCTGCAGGCATCCAAGGCCAGGCTGGATGTGGCTCTGGGCAGCCTGGGCTGCTGGTTGGCGACCTGCACACAGCAGGGGGTTGGAACTGGATGAGCACTGTGGGCCTTTGCAACCCAGGCCATTCTATGTTCTGTGATTCTATGATTCTGTAATTCTATGATTCTATGATTCATTGCCTCTCGGGGGCACTGGGCTGTGCAATTTCAAAACCTTCCATGTACTATTTTTAAGCCTCGGTGTAGAGTGATTAGATCCTCCAGCAGCCAGATGAGCAGGAAAAAGGCAGATAAGTGGATTGGAAGGCAAGTACCCTGAATATTGCTTGTGTCAGAATGGTGATAAGTTGTCCTGCTGGTTATTCTCCTGTGCCATGGCAGGAGTGCTGCCGGTGTGGATGACAGGCTTGAGTGCAGGCTGGCCTGGGAGTTTCCATCTGCCACATGGTTATAAAACAGATCATTAAACAAACCATATTTTGGGGCAACTTTAAAAGCTTTACACGCCATGATTTCATAAAATACATCAGAATAATGGAAAGAGACAGAGGGGAGGAGAGAGGATGGCAGGAATGGGACGTGCAGGGGAGTCGGGGGCAGGGAGTAGGTGGGCAGGAACTTTTGCTCTATGCAAAAGCTGATGCTCAAACATTCTGCGGTTGCTGCAGCTGCAAGGAATGTCACACCATGAAGGCCACTGGTCGGGTCAGTAAGGAACACCCAGAGCTGGGACTGCTGGCGCTCAGACCCCCGCTGATGGACCATGGCAGGAGCAGCAAGAACATCATTGCTCCTCATCATGATGGTTCAGTCTGGGTTTTGGGCTCTTCAGAGGGCAGAAGTGGAGTGGGATTGACATAAGAAGTTTTTTCTTTGCTCCGCACACAAGCAATGATGGGAAGTGGGGGAATAAGACCCCCTGAAGGCACTGAGGGAATGGAGGTGGTGCACATACTCAGGGGGGCTCTCATGATGTGGGCTTCCCTGGGCCCTCTGCCTACAAGGGAGGCTCACTTCCTTTTAGCAGCTGTCACTGCTGTGCTTTGGGGCTGCTAACATCGTAACTAATGCTATTGCTTTGATGTTACCTCCTTGAATTCCACTAAGTCATCCCCTAAACTAAATCTTAATGTATTTAAAGGAATACTTTGCACTGTTTATTTATAACAGACACTGCTTCAGCACCTCATGGATAACTTGCAAGGAAAACATCTGGCTCCCAACTACGGTCTCCTGATGCTCTGGGCCTCCCAAGCAAATGCTGTGCCTGTGAGTACCTGGGTGGGAGCAAGGCCTTTCCTGCTTGGAAGCCTGCACTGGGGAGCACAGTGCTTAACTCACAGGTCACCATGCTGTGTGTATTCCAGGAAGGGATTAGCACACCCACGTACATCACCACAAATACACCCAGGTTGCAATGTCGCAGAGGCAGTGACAAGAAAAGTTTGTGCTGTGTTTTTCCTTGATTATAATGTCCTGCGTGGTAACGTTTTGGGAGCTATTAAGCTGTTAAGGTCAGAGTCGTAAGCTGTGAAAAGCATTTAACTTCATTTTGAAACACTGTGTTATTGTGAACACTGTATTTTAAATATTCTGTGTAGAGTGCATTGAAAGCATAAAATAGGGTAACTTGGCCCGTGTGTAAAACCAGTGATTGAGGTTGTTGTGCTGCAGGAGTGCAGCCATGAATTCAAGGCCAGGCTGGATGTGGCTCTGGGCAGCCTGGGCTGCTGGTTGGCGACCTGCACACAGCAGGGGGTTGGAACTGGAGGAGCACTGTGGGCCTTTGCAACCCAGGCCATTCTGGGATTCTGTTTCTATGAATGCCAGTGCTGTGTCAGGAGAAGAAAAGCAGCAGTTTGATGTTGCTGCCACTTCAGTTCTGTCTGTGTTGGGAATGGATTTGATGGATAATGATAGAGGCTGTGCTAATGAGATCAGTGTATCTAAAACAGCTGATTCTGACCAAAGCCTTTTACTGGAAGTGCTCAGATGAGAATTCCGTAGTGGCAGAGCCATCCTTTCTTTGCTGTGACTATGAAGCTCTTTCAGTTATGGTGCAGCTGTGATTTAGGAAAAGATGACGGTGAGATACTTTCCCATGTACTCCCAAAGGGTGTACCTGCAGCTTTTGTAGGTTGGCTAATACTGCAGCCTACCCTAAAGGAATGTGGTCCGTTTCAGTGGGGTTTCTGCAGATCCACGTGTCGGAATAAGGGAGAGGCACAGCCTGCTGCCTGTTATCAGGATAACTGGCATTCCTTCCATAATGCTATCATGACTTCCTTCTGTAATATTCAGCTCTAAATAGACCTGCAGATATTTCGCCGTTTCTCAGAATAGTCACAAGGCTCTGGTGAGTGGAATGAGGAAAAAAGGCCTTTCACCTTCCAAGGGGATGTTTGAGAAGAAGCCCTTTTATCCAAAACAGCTCCGCTGATTTAGTAATTCGTTTCAAGTAACCTCGTTACTTGAAATTAACGAGAGGATCCTGTGTTTCTAAGCTCAAAGCCATACCTACGTAATGTTCAGTGGAGATCTGTGCACAGCAGATGGGCAGACCTAATCTGCCAGGGTCTGAGCCCTTGGCTGTAGATCTGTATGGGAAGCACAGCTCCCCGTGTGCCCCAGCCACGAGAGGCACCTCCAAAAATTGCAGATGTTTTCTCTTTCCTCTCATAGCTACAAAGATGTTGTGATTCTGTTCTGTATTCCTGAGCTAAAATACTCTCATCTCTGTTTAGATTGCATTCTGGACTCTTGCTTTCATACTCTCTTATCCTGCTGTTTACAAGAAAGTCATGGAAGACCTGACTTCTGTTTTTGGCAACGCAGGTAATGATTCAGATCATGGCCTTTGGAACTCAGCATGGTGGCTCCACGTTGGCCCAGCACACAGCACAGTGGGCAGTGGCTGGGAATAGTGGTTGATGCTGATAAGGACACTACCAAAACCATGAGGTCCAGCTCTGCCTGCTCAGCCTGTGCTCACGACTTATTTTTAAGCAAAAGCACTCTTGATGTTAGAGAAGGCAGAAGAGCCGTATGTCCTCGTCTCTTCATTCTACACCAACTATTTAGACCTAGTTTGTTTTTTCCATGCTTCGGTGGTAGGGTCAGATGAGATCTTTCGGTTCATTTTGGCCTCTTAGAATCACAGAACAACAGAACCATAGAGTCACCAAGGTTGGAAAAGACCTCCAAGGTCATCCAGCCCCCCTCCCACTCACCACAATACTTCCCACTCAACCACATCCCTCAGTAGCACATCTCCATGGCTCTGGGGCACCTCCAGGGGCACTGACCCACCGCGTTGCTGGGCAGCCCATTCCTCTTCTGACCAATGCCATAACTACAGCTATCTTACTAAATTACTTTCAAAGGCTTTTCTTACCGATGTTGGACTCAAATTGTTCAGATCTTGCTCTCTTTATTCACTTGGAAATATAAAGGAAAGTTGTGGATGAAAACAATGTCCTGAAGGCTTGAGGATACTCTCAGAAGGTCCAAAGCCATACATATCACAGGTATCAAAACGAGTGTGAAATGGAGTTTTTACGTGGAGTCTTCTTCCTCATACCCCAACAGGTAAGGATGAAATAGAAGTCTCTGAAGAGGACCTGAGGAACCTCCCTTATGTGAAGTGGTGTGCTTTGGAAGCCATAAGGCTGAGGTCTCCAGGTGCAATCACCAAGAAAGTAATAAAGCCAATAAGAATTCAGGTGAGCAATGGGGTGTTGGTTGGCTTTGGGTGGTGGGTGGGTTTGGTTTGGTTCTGGTTTGTTTTTTTTGTTTTGTTTTCTTTAGAGGATACTTTATGATTCTTCTAGAAAGGGCCCCTCTAATGGATGTAGATAAAACTAATAGGGATATTCCACAATCTTACGTGTGTGCTCTGTTTAGCATGACAGACTTAATAATCATTGTTAATTTAATCATTATTAATACAAGTGTAGCTTTGCTCCTCTTGCTCACAGTTGTACCTTCAGTGATAAATTGAAATTAAATTGAACTGAACTGGGAGATATTGCACCAAAGGAATAGGGAATGGGAACCAGACCCAACAAATGTGTGAGAAAGGACCACAACGTTGTAACTGCTAAAGCTCCTCTTCTGTCTGTCCTCTTCACTGTCATGCAGATAAGAAAGAGCCTGCATTCAGGCCTCTGACAAATGAGTGTCTGAGGGAAAAACACTCTCCCTCTGCCCATTTAAGTAATGAAGTCCCATAGAGTCTGCTGTCCTACAAGGCTTTCTGTGAATTCCTTTTTGTTTTGAAGGAAGTGTTTAAGGAAAGATGCAGAAGGAATTAAATGACACAGTTACATCAAGATGTGGGAAAGATAGAAATGAGGTTTCTGTTACTTGCACTGCTGACAATCTGGACAAAAGGTGTCTTTCCACATTCTCCCCCAGTTGGGCCTCCCTGATGGGCGATGGGGCACAGCACAAAGCATCAGACATGATATGCTCACTGTGGCTTTGCCTTCATGAGCCCTCTGCCAGGAGCTTCTGCTGATGGAGGAGAATGTGAGCAGGGACTGCTTTGTTAGCTGAACCTGTGATTTTCTCTTTGTTTTCTTGTCTCCCTCTCAGAGTTTCACCATCCCTGCAGGTGACATGCTGATGCTGTCTCCATATTGGCTGCACAGGAATCCGAAATATTTTCCCGACCCAGAAATGTTCAAACCTGTAAGATGTCCCTCATGCTATGGGGATTTTGCAGTCTGATCTCCTGTTCCCCTGTTATACCACAAAAGCATCTGGACATGCTGGCTTCAGGTTGGGTGCTTTCCCTCCTCTGAGCGGGGTCCTCACGTGCAGATGTGTATGGGCAGAGGGCCCTGCAGGCACAGCCAGGACTTTCAGGTTCAGGTTGATGTGTCAGATAATACCATGCTACCTCATGTCACTCTGCTCCTGATTCACAGCCCAGTGTGGATGAACACCACTGACTTCACTGTTGAAACAACATCCAAGTACCCCCATTCCCTGGCTCTTGAACAGCTTATCTTTGTGTTTCTTTGTGGTTCTTTGGCCCTTCCAGTCAGATGATTTCTGGTGGGTATTAGCTCTGCTAATTTAGCAGCTCATCTCGAGTTTCTTGCTGATTATTCCACCCCAGGTGGCCGTGTGGGCAGGCTTGGAGCTGCTCTTTTTAGCACCATCCGCTATAGAACATTTGTCTTTTTTTAGAAATATATCAAGGAGTAATTGAAACAAAATTCCCCCTGTGGCCAGCTCTTCACCCATTCAAAATCCCTCTCAGCAGTTCCTGCCTCTCTGAAACCCCGCACAGAAACTCTGATGCAGCAGCTTATCTCTCTAGTAACACTTTATTGCTGAAAACAAGGTCACTTGTTTAGAAGTTCATTCCTTTTCCCATAGGAATAGGGCAGCTGCCCTTGGACATTGCTTTGTTTCATCACCTCTGAGATCTTCGTCCTGCTTTTAATGGATTTTGGTTTCCATTTCACAGAGCTGAAGCTGTATAAAAATCCCAAATAAACAAAGATTCTGTCTTCAGGATGGGCTCCAGCAGAAGCGATAGCTGCAAAAAGCTTAGCAGGTGTTACTGGAAGGCTTCGCTGGAGTTGTGCTGAGCTCCTGGGGGCTGCTCTGCTTCTCACCCAGCGGTCAAGCAATGCACTTCTGCCAGTGTCAGTGCACCTCAGCTGCAGCCTGGCTGCTCTGCTGTTCCTTTCCTCCTGCAGTGGCTCAGGCAGGAACCAGGAGCCCTCTGGGTGCAGGGGCTCTTTTTGCTGCCATTGCCAAGAGTGTATTTTGTCACCCAGTAGCTCATCCCTGAGAATGGGGTGGTGTAATCTTTCCCTTCCCCTCGTGTGACATAAATGCACCTTGGATTTGTTGGTGTGTAACCGGTGTGTAACAGAGGCTGTGGATGCCCCGTCCATCCCTGGAGGTGTTCAAGGCCAGGTTGGATGGGGCCCTGGGCAGCCTGGGCTGCTCTGAAATGTGGAGGTTGGTGGCCCTGCATGTAGTGGGGGGTTTGGAGCTTCGTGATCCTGGAGGTCCCTTCCAACCCTGGCCATTCTGTGATGCTGTGATTCTAACATGTGGGACGTGCTTTGTGGGGAGGCGCTGCCTGAAGCTCACGTCTTCATTGGCATTTCAGTAACTCAAGCAGCAGGTTTAGAGAAATAGGGATGTTGAGGAAGATGCTTTTAGGGGTGATTTTGAAAACCTTTCCAGCATTTGGAGACGTCTCAGTGTGTTTCACATGGGACCCCTGCTTGTGTCCCTGAGTCACTGCTGGCTTTTGAGGCAGACTCCTACAGTACCAGGTTGAAGGCAAAAAATGGCATTAGTGCAATTTGGGATGGAGGATTAGCTGTTCAAGGTCATTTTTAGCCTGGAGAAATAAAGTTGAGCTTTATTTATATAAGTCTGATTTGGAAAAAAAAAAGTTTCTTCCCACAGGATCGTTGGAAAGAGGCAAATTTAGAGAAGAATGCTTTCTTGGACGGCTTTGTGGCATTTGGAGGAGGGAAGCATCAGTGTCCAGGAAGGTCAGTGAAACAGCTGGGGTTTATTTATTCCCAAACCCTGCAGAGAACAACCCTCCTGAGCTGGGCTCCTCTTACACTTGGAGATAGGCTGTTTTCATTATTTCGCTTTGTCAGTGCTCTGATGTTCAGTGCTATCTGGACCTTATTTAAATTAATTTGAAAGTGGTTTCTTTCCTGGAACAAAACAGGTGAAGCCACGATGTAAAAGCAGAATCTGAGACAAATGTCCCAAGGGATGCTGCTCAGTGAGAGCCAGCCTAACCCTGCTGCTGCTGAGGTTCCTTTACATCAAGGGAGAGTTGTTCCACTTACAAACATGCCAGCTTACAGACCTGGGCTTTGAGGTACCATAAGGCACTTCCAAACAAAGAACATTTCCCTGCTCTGACACTCTCTATCCGTCCTCCGTGCCAGTGACATCTTTGCTAATCTTCAAGTGTCTTAAATGGTTCCTCTCTGTTTAAAGCCCTTGCATTTGCATTACGGCCCACACAACTGTATGATAGCTTAAATTGCAGATCCTGCCTCTCTTCCTTCCTCCAGCAATGCCAGCCTCAGTGCTTCCTGCATTCCTTCTGCTGTTTTCTCTGTGGTCCCTCTTCCTGGAATGAGTCCCAAGGAACCAGCTGCTCCACGTTTCTGTGTTAAAACATCCCTTTGCTCATTTCTCTGCCTTCAAAACCCAATCTTCTTTAGGCAGCAAATAACCAAGAATCCTTAAGAGAAGTCAGTTCAGTGCAAGAATCCTATGTGGAGCAAGGAAACCAGAGGGTGTTGTAAGGGAACCCTGTTCTTGAGTCTGCACCCTGTATCAGGCTGGACATGAGCATCAGATAGACTTTGTGGAGGCATTGCACACATAAGCAATGTGAGTAAAACTGTTCAGGCTTGGCAGAGAAAAGTGCCCACTCACTGCTGTACCTCCCCAGCTTGTACAGCGTTCCTGAGCTGAATGTGAGCACAGCCTCATTGGCAGCAAAGGCAACAGCCGTGTTCACAGCAGGCACCCACAGGTCCACAGCATGCTGCCTCTGCTTGCTTATACACACGGACCTTTGTCTTTGATCTGGCTATTCTCTGGGCTCTGATAGTATCTCTAAAGTAAGTCTGTGGTGAAAACGAAAATGATAGTGTATCTGTATGGGCAATAGGTGGAGAATCACTTCTGATGGATGCAGTCCTTTCAGCCCCTTGGCCACCTCCACATCTTTTAGTAGTAATTCTGAGAGAGTAACGTGGTGGCCCTGGAAGAAAGGAAATCGAATCAAGGATGTATCTGGATCCCAGGTTGCAGATTTCCATGGTATAACTGAATCAAATAATGGTATTTCAAGTTTAAGATGAGTTTTCATTTAATTCACTGCTGGCATTTGTAAATGAAGTGCACCAAACATTTCGTTTTACTCCACGCATTGCAAAAGCTCATCATGAAATTAAAAGCTAATGCAATCAAACTGAAAGCTAGAAAATAACTTGTTAAATATCCTAGCAAAGGGATGCGGGAAAAGCTCCTAGAAAACCATTTCTGAACCTAAGGGAAGGGTTTGATGTCACTGAATCTGCAATGGGACTTCTGTCTGACCAGGAGAGCTCTGCGGGTGCAGCTGTGCTTATCTCACATGGATCTGTCTGTTGTCTCTGATTATGAACCCTTCAGCACAAGAGGTGTCATTTCATTCTCAGGCTCTGTTTGCTGCAGGATCTCAATGCCTGGGTCCCAGCATCACACAAGTATGTAGCAGTGTGCTGGGGACAGAAATCCAGAAAGTGCATCTCCTCCTTGGCACTAAATAGAACAGGATTCAGAGTTTTTAGAGGAAGGCTGCTCACCCGAGAATATGAAAGACAAGTGGGAACTGAAGGGCATTCTGCTGCATGAGAGCTCATGGATTCAGACTGGGATGTGGCCAGGAGGAGGGGGGACCTCAGCCGTCTGTTAGCATCCCTGTGCCTCAGCATCTCTGCAGACAGGAAGAACAGCAGCCTGTTTGCAACAGCACTTTGCAGTCTCATGGTGGGATGCAGAGGCAGGACTTCAGGCACCAGCAGCACCAAGCAAGCAGTGCAGGACTGCAAGGAACCCACCTTTGCACAGTGCTGCTGGCATGGAGTTTGGGCTAGGAAGTCCTGCCTGACTTGAGCTCATTTCCATTCAAGTATCTCTGCTCTGCATTCCTCTGAGCTCAAGGTCACCAAAAGCAGCCTATCTCAAGGTACTGCAATGTGAAATCACAGGGATAATTTGGTTCTCAAGCTATGTCAAAGCAAGCAAGCATCTTCTCACTGCAGAGTGCTGGGCAGTGTAGACTGCAGATCTGAATGGTTCTGCAGGAGCTTTCTTGGGTCCCACGGGGCTTATTAGCTTCCTCTTCACACCTACCAGGCCAAAGCCGGGCTGACGCTGTGTGCAGTCATGCGCTCTTCTCCCCAGTGAGTTTCCCAATAGCTGTTTTATCCAGCAGTTCTCACATATTGGAAAATAAACTGTGTGGAAGAGCAAGGTAATATTACTATTTTAAGCAGCTCTTTAAGACGTATGTCTGACTTCTGCAATGAGTAATCCCATGAGCTGGCATAGGTAGACGCTGGTGGCTGAACGGAGGATGTTCTTGTACATACCAGCATTTAAAAATAATAGCTGGGAAGAGTTCACCTGCAGTAACTGCTGCAGTGTGACTGACTGAGAGCTTTCTGAGCATGTTGCAGACACAAACCCGTGCCCTTGGGTTTATCCTGCATTTGAACACTGACGCACTGAGCACCAACTCCTGCTGTCACATCTACTCTGATGTCACTGGGCTCCCAGCTGTATGACACAACTTTATATAGCACAATTAGTCATAGAGCCTCTTCTATATTTGACTGTCTGCTCAGTCCTAGGAAGTTATTTCAAATCAGTAAGTCTTAGAAGAACATCAATGTTTACACAGTGGAAAAAACCCTAATGCCAGGGAGTTGTTCTGAAATGGGGTGTCAGAGGGTACGGCTGCTCTGAAGTGTCAGCAGGCAGAAGGGGCAGCCACCATGTTTGCATGCTTCACTGGACAGCATTTTTTCCTACTGAAGATAAATGCACACTGAGGCATGGAATGCAGGATGTGCAAGAGGCAGCATGCTGCTTGTCTGATAACACGTGTGAGCTGCAGGATGGACGCCCAGTGCTCTTCTCCCTTCTCTTGCAGATGGTTTGCTATCATGGAAATCCAGTTGTTCGTTGTGCTGTTCCTGTACAAATACCAGTTTGTGCTTTTGGATGCAGTACCAAAGGAGGTAAAAGATCTGTGCCTTTTTCTGGCATTCCGCATCTTTAAATCCTTCATTCACTGGGCTCAGCTGAACAACCGTTCTCAACTGAGTTTATGTATAATGAAGCAGATTGCTTTGAGGAGCATTTAAAAACATATAATCAATAATTTGATCTTAATTTTTATTCAGGAAACACAGAGTAACTCCAGCAATGCAATGGGACTGTGATGTCTATACAAGTGCACCTATGAGAGTATTTTATCTCAACATTGCCTAAACATTACAGGAGGTTTTACGATTTCTGCCACTCGCAGCAGCAATGAATATGCAGTTAGGTGATCAGTACTTGAAGCAGACGTTAAATGAGGGCAGCATTTTAGGGACGTGGCTCAGTGGGCATAATGGTGATGGGCTGCCAGCTGGGCTAGATGACCTTAGAGGTCTTTTCCAACCTTAATGATTCTGTGATTCTATCATTACCTGTGCTCTTCTGCTCCATATTGACTGGGGGAAGAAAACCAAATAAGATCATAGAATCACAGAATGGCCTGGGTTGCAAAGGCCCACAGTGCTCCTCTGATTCCAACCCCCTGCTGTGTGCAGGTCGCCAACCAGCAGCCCAGGCTGCCCAGAGCCACATCCAGCCTGGCCTTGAATGCCTGCAGGGATGGGGCATCCACAGCCTCCTTGGGCAACCTGTTCCAGTGCCTCACCACCCTCTGGATGAAAAACTTCCTCCCCATATCCAACCTAAGCCTCCCCTGACTCACTTTAAAACCATTCCCCCTTGTCCTATCACCATCCACCCTCACAAACAGCTGTTCCCCCTCCTGTTTATCTGCTCTCTTCGAATATTGGAATAGGGAAAGAGTGAAGGAACAACCATGACACAGAGGGGTTTTATTGTAAAGAAAGTGTGGCATAATCACGTCTTTCAGCTGTAATTCCCTTCCTCATTTGCACAATGACCCTCTCCAAAAACCATGGTTCCTCACAAACCTGCAGTGAAGAGAAGCTGCCTGCTGTCACAGCCTGAACAGGGACACATGCCCTGCATGAACTGGCAAAGAGAAGAGGAAGGAGTTAAAAGTGGCCTGGGCTTTGTGACATTGTCCGTTAGGCTGGAAGTTGAAGAATCCTTGAAGAATGTGAGAGGTTGATCTCAAGCAGTAGTAGACAGCCCACCCACACTAAGGAGGAAGGTTGGCTCTTCCTGACTGGTGCTGTGCTGCATGCCTGGGGCTGACTGTACGTCTTCACCCACCCAGGCAATTATGGTGGTGAATATGCTCCAAACCAGTAGGGTTTTTAAGATCTCATGTCCTCCCCAGCCACAGGAACTGGACTAAAGTAAAAAGTAAAGCGCTATTCAACTACTCCAGTGGAGCCAAGAAATATTCTCAGCATTTGGTCTTGTTTCTAAGACAAAAGCTCTAAGAATATGTTTATGTATTAATATTAAAGCAAGATGATAGTTCCATTAACTGAACTGAAGTGTTTCTGTCAATCTCTTTGCAGAGCCCTTTGCATTTGGTGGGGACACAGCAACCCCTGACACCATTCCGGGTCCAGTATAAAGGCTGGGAATGAAGGGAGCCCAGTACTGACTTGCCTTTCTTTGCCTGGATGAATGGACTGCTGAGCTGCTTCTCTGCTCTTCGTATTCAAACAAGTTCTCTGCTGTTACAGTTCTTAATTCCAACTTTACATTGTGTACATACTCTGTGTTGCAATAAGCCATGACAACACAGTCTTATCTATGGTCTTCTTCCCAATTGCCTACCTCCTAGTATTAAAATATCAAGCTCTCCTGCCAAATTAGTCACAGTCTAACTGATACGCTAACCTCACCAACCAGACATTCAGGACAAAAAACTGCTGTGTCTGAAAATCCTGCGTGGAAGTGTTGCCAGAGACAGCAGAAAAGCAGGTTCCTGCTTGCTGTAGGTATCTTCAAGCCAAGGCCAAAGCTGCAAGCATGAGAAACAGCTGTGGTGCTGTTCCACTGGAGCACCTTGCATTGCTGCTGAGTTTGATATGCTCAGCACTGGTCCTGGCATGGATACACAGTGAAAGCTCGATGGTGGTGCTTGGCTGCAGTGCAGAGTGATGGCAAGAAACACCACTGCCCTTCATTAGTTTGGTGGTCTAGAATTGAGAACCTTTTATTTTTAACATGATTTACAGAACGCAATAATAAATCTAAAACTATTCAATTCTATGAAGAGTATCTGGTAAACGTTGTTCAAGGCAACTCTCAAGTAAATAAGTTCAGATACCAACACTTTAACTGCTGTCAGATTTCATATACAATAATAGCAGACGTATTTTTAGTCTTCTAAGTAAAGATTATTCATCATTTTATAAGTGCTTGCAAAAAAAAAACAACCATCCAAATGGCCTTTTGGCAGTGGTAGGTATGGGAATAACATCCATAGGAAAATAACACATGGTATAATTCATTAAATGGTTGGATTATCTCAGTCACGGATACTACAATTTAACAATACCTGCTCTTGACAGCCAGAGAAGCCAAAAAAGAATGTGAATTAAAGTGGCTTTGTGACTCTCCCTCTGAAATCCTAGCACTGTGTGACTGCTCTGCTGACAGTCCATACTTTCCTAGGCAGGAAAAACCATGTGGGGTGGGTTAGTAGAGTAGTGTGGTAGTCAGGTGATAGAGCTGAATGGGATCTTCTACCTGGAAATAATTCAGAAGCTTCTGGGGGAGGGAAGTATAGCACTATACCACTGGGACAGGGTTAAGCAAATATTGAAAGGTCATGGAAAGGCCAGGTTGGATGACTCCCACCACAGAAGGCATCCCACTGCCACCAGGCATTTCTGATGCTTTTGAGAAAGGTAGAAATACTTTCATATTTTCACTGCAATGATAATAGAATCACAGAATCACAGAATGGCCTGGGTTGGAAGGGACCTCAAGGATCACGAAGCTCCAACCCCCACCACAGGCAGGGCCACCAACCTCCACATTTCACAGCAGCCCAGGCTGCCCAGGGCCCCATCCAACCTGGCCTTGAACACCTCCAGGGATGGACGGGGCATCCACAGCCTCTCTGGGCAGCTGTTCCAGCACCTCACCACTCTCACAGCAAACAACTTCCCCCTCACATCCAACCTCAGTCTTCCCTCCCTCAACTTCAAACCATTTCCCCTTGTCCTGCTGTTATCTCCCCTTTCCAAGAGCTGACTCCCCTCCTGTCTGTAGGCTCCCTTCAGGTACTGAAGGCTGCAATGATTCACCCCGCAGCCTTCTCTTCTCCATGCTGAACAAGCCCAGCTCCCTCAGCCTGTGCTCGTAGTGGAGGTGCTGCAGCCCTCTGATCATCTTTGTGGCTCCTCTGGACCCTCAATAAATCAGTGGAAATTCAATATTTGGCAGAAGACTCAAAACATTTTTTATTAAAATTGTTGAACTGCTGCAAGTGAGTCCTCTCCAGTCAGCAGAGTGAGAAGATAACCCTTCATATCAGCAGCCGCCTCCTGGAGTAATTGCAGCTTCTTTTATGTCTTTCCTGTAATGAGCCTCACTGCCTGCCTCTTGTCTGTGCTTAGCAGTCAAGTACTTGGAGTGGTCTCTCTCGGCATTAGTGGTGGTATCCGACCTTTTCTGTGCTGCTGATTATCACAGAAACCAGAGGTTTGTGTGCCTCCTGCAAAGAGATTACTGGGAACGAAAAGATAGGGCTGTGGCCATTGAGAGCTAAGCTAAAAATAATTACTTCCCTTCAGAAAGAAATGCAGCTAAAGGCTGTAGTTCTATGTCGTGCTTAAACACTGTGCCGACAAAACTCAAATACGTGTTTTGCTTTCAGCAAATACTTAATTGATTTGCAGAATAAGAATGGATTTCAATTCAAGCACATGCTAAAGCACTTCCCTGTGCCAGTCCCACTGCCCTAGCTGCTAACCTGCTCACAGTCACTCCTGGTGGTTGTGTTGTAATTTTAGGGCTAGATAAGGATTAGTGGAAATACCGAGGTAGCTTTGCTCATTTCAGGTGAAATTGGCTAACATGAAGGCTTCCAGGAAAAGTATTTCTTTTAAAAGCACAGTTATAGCATAAAACAGTAGGCTTCATTGGCAGCAAGCATCTTTCCCAGTTATTTGGTGCATTCTAAATGTCTGGCTCATCACATGGCAAAAAGATTGCCTCTCCACTGGTACACAGTGGAAGGGGAATTAGGCACAGGAAAGGCATTCAAAAGATAGCGAGCGTTGGATTGAAGCAACCAAGGAGAAGCTTTCATCGTGTGGCCATTCTGAATGACATTGGGCATGTGACTGATGGGCACAACGTGACTTACTGTTTTCACTTTGATCATAAAATTACTAGGAATGGCTTAATGGAGTTATAAATATCTTGTTTCCATGAGAGTCCTGGGAGAGTAATTATAGCACTGAAGTCTTTACAAAGATAGAGCCTTTATACAATGATATTATCTAAGGACTGCAATGGATGTGGCTGGGGATTCTGCATTCTGTGTGCAGCTCAGCTATTGACTCAGTGCACTCTTTGGGCAAATCACTTCATCCTTCTGTGACTGCGTTGTCTCATCCATACAGTGGGGTAATGATAACGACTGCTGCGAACTCAATGAATTGTAAGTTGCATTACTCATACTCAGCAAAGCCTGCTTATAGGTAGTGATGGATGTCTGCAAGACTTTGGTTGAGCTATGTGCTTTCCTTAATTGTACCAGCCGTATGTTACTGAGAATCCACATTACTCTACTTATAGTAATGAGAATCAGAATAAATACTTCGTATCTCTTAGTTCACACTTCTTAGGATGCTATGTAACAGTTGGATCCTGGACAACTTCAGGAATGTTTTGTCTTTCGTTGGGCTCCAAAGACTTTGGGGTGTTTCTTGATGAGTAGAAGTACAACCTGCTTGCATAAACCAGCCCCTTGGTAGGAGTGTTATCTAGAAGGGTGTCCAGCACGTACCTGTGAGAAAATAATTACACTTACACTCTAACTTTTTGCAGTTCTATCAGGCTTTTCTACTTGTGTGCTGTTTTCAAGGCCAGGTTGGATGGGGCCCTGGGCAGCCTGGGCTGCTCTGAAATGTGGAGGTTGGTGGCCCTGCCTGTGGTGGGGGGTTGGAGCTTCATGATCCTTGAGGTCCCTTCCAACCCAAGCCATTCTGTGATTCTGTGATTCACTGCATTAGGAGATAGATACATCATCTTTCCCAAGTACCAAGTGGAGTGTTGGGGTAATACAAATACAGAAAGAGTATGAGCAAGTATGGTGCAACTCCTATTGTTCCATCTTTGCGGCTTTGAAACAAACAAGTCTGGGAGCAGGAGGAAACAACAGACAACAGGGCCTGATCCAATGGGTACTGTGTCTGAAAGGGACGAGTGAGCCTGCAATGTGAAAATGAGCTGTGCTGGAGAGGAGATACTGCGTCCTCCACTGAGAATGCTGTAACCACAACGGCTGTGATTCCAAAGGCCATTGATAACTATGAAGGAGCTCAGAGTTGAATCTGATTGATGAAAATGTTTGTAAGCCTGTCAAGACTTGGAGTCAATTTGTTCACCTTAATAAAGTGAAAGCTCAGAAGTGTCTTCTCTATTCCCGAACAAAATGAAGTCCTGTAATGGATGGGCCTTTGGAGCTTGCTGTACCTTTCTGCAGTGGATTGAAGTGAAATCTAGCAGATTGCTACCTGAGAAAAAAATGCAGATCAGAAAAGGGAGCTGTTTTTCCAAGGACTGACATTACATTTATATATCAATAATTCTGAAAACAAAATTGCATGTTTTTCTGAAATAAAAGCCTTTTATCTGTTGTCTGTGCACTGGAGTGGAGAGAGGTGGGAAAGGCAACCTGATTACTTCTGCAGAGTCTGCAGAACATGTATTGAAAGATTCTCTATGCAGGCATTCCACAAACATAAAGCATTTTTCAATGCATTTACAAGGGCAGAAAACACCTTTCCTGAGGGTATGATACTGGTCAGACAAGGCAGGGTTTGGAAGAGATCCAGTTAGGTAATCCAGTCTGGTCCAAGAAGCCTAAGGCTATGGAGGATCTGGTACTTTACAAAGCCTAACTAGGGAGTGGTGAGATTTGGCATTCTGTTTTTCTTTGGTTGTTTCTTGGGTCTGAGCCCCCTATGCCCTGAGGACGTAGACCCTGAGCACTGCCTTCCCAGTCCCCTCTATGGAAGGGGTCTCCGACTGGTAAAGTGTGTTGCAGTCTGAAGGTGAGACTTTGTTGCTTTCTCATGCCAAAGATCTCCATCGTAAGTGGACAAGACTTTCTTTAGTTAAATACAAAAGTTTCAGTGGATTTCACCATATCAGTCTTTGTTATTGCTGACATAGATCCAGAGGCAGTTGCATGACACTGGCCTTTTATCCTGTCCCTGTTCTGAAAACCATCTTGCTCAGAAAAGCATTAAGTGTGCCCTTCTATTTACTTGATGCCAAAAGAAAATGGAACGTTTGCCAGCACTGTGGCACAGCTGTGTGTATGTCATTCCCAGGCTAAAATGAGGATCCTGAGATAAGAAGTACGGTGTGATGGAGTTCTACACAGTTCATCACAGCACAAGACACTGCCTTTGATGCTCTTCCTCTGCCCAAATCTTGGTATTACCATTTGCTATTTTAAGCTTGTTTATAGAACTGGAATAATGCGCAGATATAAAAGATGATGACAAGAGTGCTTTCAGGCATTACAACTGAGGTTTGGAGTTCTTTTTTTTTTTTTCCTTTTTTTTTTTTTTTTTTCAGAAAAAATAAACCAAAGGATGTTTTACTTTCTGAAAGCCTAGCA